TAGCAATGGCCGATTGGGTCGGGAATTTGGTCGAATTTTTCCGGAGGGCATTTTCGTGATTTTTAGGCGATTTTTTCGGAATGTCATTTTCCTTAGATTTTGAAGACTGCAGATCACAGATTCAGCCAGAGGGTATTCTTTACGGATGAATAAGTCTATTAAACACCGATTCGGGCGGAAAATCTCCGGGGCAATTTTTGCCAGATTCCAAAGGGGTACCATCACCGATTTCGGGCGATTTTTTGGAAATGCCATTTTCGTTGGATTTTGAAGGCGATAAATCACAGAGTCGGGCTTAGGGTACTCTCCACCAACGATGAATTCTAGCAATGGCCGATTGGGGCGGGAATTTGGTCGAATTTTTCCGGAGGGCATTTTCGTGATTTTTAGGCGATTTTTTCGGAATGTCATTTTCCTTAGATTTTGAAGACTGCAGATCACAGATTCAGCCAGAGGGTATTCTTTACGGATGAATAAGTCTATTAAACACCGATTCGGGCGGAAAATCTCCGGGGCAATTTTTGCCAGATTCCAAAGGGGTACCATCACCGATTTCGGGCGATTTTTTGGAAATGCCATTTTCGTTGGATTTTGAAGGCGATAAATCACAGAGTCGGGCTTAGGGTACTCTCCACCAACGATGAATTCTAGCAATGGCCGATTGGGGCGGGAATTTGGTCGAATTTTTCCGGAGGGCATTTTCGTGATTTTTAGGCGATTTTTTCGGAATGTCATTTTCCTTAGATTTTGAAGACTGCAGATCACAGATTCAGCCAGAGGGTATTCTTTACGGATGAATAAGTCTATTAAACACCGATTCGGGCGGAAAATCTCCGGGGCAATTTTTGCCAGATTCCAAAGGGGTACCATCACCGATTTCGGGCGATTTTTTGGAAATGCCATTTTCGTTGGATTTTGAAGGCGATAAATCACAGAGTCGGGCTTAGGGTACTCTCCACCAACGATGAATTCTAGCAATGGCCGATTGGGGCGGGAATTTGGTCGAATTTTTCCGGAGGGCATTTTCGTGATTTTTAGGCGATTTTTTCGGAATGTCATTTTCCTTAGATTTTGAAGACTGCAGATCACAGATTCAGCCAGAGGGTATTCTTTACGGATGAATAAGTCTATTAGACACCGATTCGGGCGGAAAATCTCCGGGGCAATTTTTGCCAGATTCCAAAGGGGTACCATCACCGATTTCGGGCGATTTTTTGGAAATGCCATTTTCGTTGGATTTTGAAGGCGATAAATCACAGAGTCGGGCTTAGGGTACTCTCCACCAACGATGAATTCTAGCAATGGCCGATTGGGGCGGGAATTTGGTCGAATTTTTCCGGAGGGCATTTTCGTGATTTTTAGGCGATTTTTTCGGAATGTCATTTTCCTTAGATTTTGAAGACTGCAGATCACAGATTCAGCCAGAGGGTATTCTTTACGGATGAATAAGTCTATTAAACACCGATTCGGGCGGAAAATCTCCGGGGCAATTTTTGCCAGATTCCAAAGGGGTACCATCACCGATTTCGGGCGATTTTTTGGAAATGCCATTTTCGTTGGATTTTGAAGGCGATAAATCACAGAGTCGGGCTTAGGGTACTCTCCACCAACGATGAATTCTAGCAATGGCCGATTGGGGCGGGAATTTGGTCGAATTTTTCCGGAGGGCATTTTCGTGATTTTTAGGCGATTTTTTCGGAATGTCATTTTCCTTAGATTTTGAAGACTGCAGATCACAGATTCAGCCAGAGGGTATTCTTTACGGATGAATAAGTCTATTAAACACCGATTCGGGCGGAAAATCTCCGGGGCAATTTTTGCCAGATTCCAAAGGGGTACCATCACCGATTTCGGGCGATTTTTTGGAAATGCCATTTTCGTTGGATTTTGAAGGCGATAAATCACAGAGTCGGGCTTAGGGTACTCTCCACCAACGATGAATTCTAGCAATGGCCGATTGGGGCGGGAATTTGGTCGAATTTTTCCGGAGGGCATTTTCGTGATTTTTAGGCGATTTTTTCGGAATGTCATTTTCCTTAGATTTTGAAGACTGCAGATCACAGATTCAGCCAGAGGGTATTCTTTACGGATGAATAAGTCTATTAAACACCGATTCGGGCGGAAAATCTCCGGGGCAATTTTTGCCAGATTCCAAAGGGGTACCATCACCGATTTCGGGCGATTTTTTGGAAATGCCATTTTCGTTGGATTTTGAAGGCGATAAATCACAGAGTCGGGCTTAGGGTACTCTCCACCAACGATGAATTCTAGCAATGGCCGATTGGGGCGGGAATTTGGTCGAATTTTTCCGGAGGGCATTTTCGTGATTTTTAGGCGATTTTTTCGGAATGTCATTTTCCTTAGATTTTGAAGACTGCAGATCACAGATTCAGCCAGAGGGTATTCTTTACGGATGAATAAGTCTATTAAACACCGATTCGGGCGGAAAATCTCCGGGGCAATTTTTGCCAGATTCCAAAGGGGTACCATCACCGATTTCGGGCGATTTTTTGGAAATGCCATTTTCGTTGGATTTTGAAGGCGATAAATCACAGAGTCGGGCTTAGGGTACTCTCCACCAACGATGAATTCTAGCAATGGCCGATTGGGGCGGGAATTTGGTCGAATTTTTCCGGAGGGCATTTTCGTGATTTTTAGGCGATTTTTTCGGAATGTCATTTTCCTTAGATTTTGAAGACTGCAGATCACAGATTCAGCCAGAGGGTATTCTTTACGGATGAATAAGTCTATTAGACACCGATTCGGGCGGAAAATCTCCGGGGCAATTTTTGCCAGATTCCAAAGGGGTACCATCACCGATTTCGGGCGATTTTTTGGAAATGCCATTTTCGTTGGATTTTGAAGGCGATAAATCACAGAGTCGGGCTTAGGGTACTCTCCACCAACGATGAATTCTAGCAATGGCCGATTGGGGCGGGAATTTGGTCGAATTTTTCCGGAGGGCATTTTCGTGATTTTTAGGCGATTTTTTCGGAATGTCATTTTCCTTAGATTTTGAAGACTGCAGATCACAGATTCAGCCAGAGGGTATTCTTTACGGATGAATAAGTCTATTAAACACCGATTCGGGCGGAAAATCTCCGGGGCAATTTTTGCCAGATTCCAAAGGGGTACCATCACCGATTTCGGGCGATTTTTTGGAAATGCCATTTTCGTTGGATTTTGAAGGCGATAAATCACAGAGTCGGGCTTAGGGTACTCTCCACCAACGATGAATTCTAGCAATGGCCGATTGGGGCGGGAATTTGGTCGAATTTTTCCGGAGGGCATTTTCGTGATTTTTAGGCGATTTTTTCGGAATGTCATTTTCCTTAGATTTTGAAGACTGCAGATCACAGATTCAGCCAGAGGGTATTCTTTACGGATGAATAAGTCTATTAAACACCGATTCGGGCGGAAAATCTCCGGGGCAATTTTTGCCAGATTCCAAAGGGGTACCATCACCGATTTCGGGCGATTTTTTGGAAATGCCATTTTCGTTGGATTTTGAAGGCGATAAATCACAGAGTCGGGCTTAGGGTACTCTCCACCAACGATGAATTCTAGCAATGGCCGATTGGGGCGGGAATTTGGTCGAATTTTTCCGGAGGGCATTTTCGTGATTTTTAGGCGATTTTTTCGGAATGTCATTTTCCTTAGATTTTGAAGACTGCAGATCACAGATTCAGCCAGAGGGTATTCTTTACGGATGAATAAGTCTATTAGACACCGATTCGGGCGGAAAATCTCCGGGGCAATTTTTGCCAGATTCCAAAGGGGTACCATCACCGATTTCGGGCGATTTTTTGGAAATGCCATTTTCGTTGGATTTTGAAGGCGATAAATCACAGAGTCGGGCTTAGGGTACTCTCCACCAACGATGAATTCTAGCAATGGCCGATTGGGGCGGGAATTTGGTCGAATTTTTCCGGAGGGCATTTTCGTGATTTTTAGGCGATTTTTTCGGAATGTCATTTTCCTTAGATTTTGAAGACTGCAGATCACAGATTCAGCCAGAGGGTATTCTTTACGGATGAATAAGTCTATTAGACACCGATTCGGGCGGAAAATCTCCGGGGCAATTTTTGCCAGATTCCAAAGGGGTACCATCACCGATTTCGGGCGATTTTTTGGAAATGCCATTTTCGTTGGATTTTGAAGGCGATAAATCACAGAGTCGGGCTTAGGGTACTCTCCACCAACGATGAATTCTAGCAATGGCCGATTGGGGCGGGAATTTGGTCGAATTTTTCCGGAGGGCATTTTCGTGATTTTTAGGCGATTTTTTCGGAATGTCATTTTCCTTAGATTTTGAAGACTGCAGATCACAGATTCAGCCAGAGGGTATTCTTTACGGATGAATAAGTCTATTAAACACCGATTCGGGCGGAAAATCTCCGGGGCAATTTTTGCCAGATTCCAAAGGGGTACCATCACCGATTTCGGGCGATTTTTTGGAAATGCCATTTTCGTTGGATTTTGAAGGCGATAAATCACAGAGTCGGGCTTAGGGTACTCTCCACCAACGATGAATTCTAGCAATGGCCGATTGGGGCGGGAATTTGGTCGAATTTTTCCGGAGGGCATTTTCGTGATTTTTAGGCGATTTTTTCGGAATGTCATTTTCCTTAGATTTTGAAGACTGCAGATCACAGATTCAGCCAGAGGGTATTCTTTACGGATGAATAAGTCTATTAGACACCGATTCGGGCGGAAAATCTCCGGGGCAATTTTTGCCAGATTCCAAAGGAGTACCATCACCGATTTCGGGCGATTTTTTGGAAATGCCATTTTCGTTGGATTTTGAAGGCGATAAATCACAGAGTCGGGCTTAGGGTACTCTCCACCAACGATGAATTCTAGCAATGGCCGATTGGGGCGGGAATTTGGTCGAATTTTTCCGGAGGGCATTTTCGTGATTTTTAGGCGATTTTTTCGGAATGTCATTTTCCTTAGATTTTGAAGACTGCAGATCACAGATTCAGCCAGAGGGTATTCTTTACGGATGAATAAGTCTATTAGACACCGATTCGGGCGGAAAATCTCCGGGGCAATTTTTGCCAGATTCCAAAGGGGTACCATCACCGATTTCGGGCGATTTTTTGGAAATGCCATTTTCGTTGGATTTTGAAGGCGATAAATCACAGAGTCGGGCTTAGGGTACTCTCCACCAACGATGAATTCTAGCAATGGCCGATTGGGGCGGGAATTTGGTCGAATTTTTCCGGAGGGCATTTTCGTGATTTTTAGGCGATTTTTTCGGAATGTCATTTTCCTTAGATTTTGAAGACTGCAGATCACAGATTCAGCCAGAGGGTATTCTTTACGGATGAATAAGTCTATTAAACACCGATTCGGGCGGAAAATCTCCGGGGCAATTTTTGCCAGATTCCAAAGGGGTACCATCACCGATTTCGGGCGATTTTTTGGAAATGCCATTTTCGTTGGATTTTGAAGGCGATAAATCACAGAGTCGGGCTTAGGGTACTCTCCACCAACGATGAATTCTAGCAATGGCCGATTGGGGCGGGAATTTGGTCGAATTTTTCCGGAGGGCATTTTCGTGATTTTTAGGCGATTTTTTCGGAATGTCATTTTCCTTAGATTTTGAAGACTGCAGATCACAGATTCAGCCAGAGGGTATTCTTTACGGATGAATAAGTCTATTAGACACCGATTCGGGCGGAAAATCTCCGGGGCAATTTTTGCCAGATTCCAAAGGAGTACCATCACCGATTTCGGGCGATTTTTTGGAAATGCCATTTTCGTTGGATTTTGAAGGCGATAAATCACAGAGTCGGGCTTAGGGTACTCTCCACCAACGATGAATTCTAGCAATGGCCGATTGGGGCGGGAATTTGGTCGAATTTTTCCGGAGGGCATTTTCGTGATTTTTAGGCGATTTTTTCGGAATGTCATTTTCCTTAGATTTTGAAGACTGCAGATCACAGATTCAGCCAGAGGGTATTCTTTACGGATGAATAAGTCTATTAGACACCGATTCGGGCGGAAAATCTCCGGGGCAATTTTTGCCAGATTCCAAAGGGGTACCATCACCGATTTCGGGCGATTTTTTGGAAATGCCATTTTCGTTGGATTTTGAAGGCGATAAATCACAGAGTCGGGCTTAGGGTACTCTCCACCAACGATGAATTCTAGCAATGGCCGATTGGGGCGGGAATTTGGTCGAATTTTTCCGGAGGGCATTTTCGTGATTTTTAGGCGATTTTTTCGGAATGTCATTTTCCTTAGATTTTGAAGACTGCAGATCACAGATTCAGCCAGAGGGTATTCTTTACGGATGAATAAGTCTATTAAACACCGATTCGGGCGGAAAATCTCCGGGGCAATTTTTGCCAGATTCCAAAGGGGTACCATCACCGATTTCGGGCGATTTTTTGGAAATGCCATTTTCGTTGGATTTTGAAGGCGATAAATCACAGAGTCGGGCTTAGGGTACTCTCCACCAACGATGAATTCTAGCAATGGCCGATTGGGGCGGGAATTTGGTCGAATTTTTCCGGAGGGCATTTTCGTGATTTTTAGGCGATTTTTTCGGAATGTCATTTTCCTTAGATTTTGAAGACTGCAGATCACAGATTCAGCCAGAGGGTATTCTTTACGGATGAATAAGTCTATTAAACACCGATTCGGGCGGAAAATCTCCGGGGCAATTTTTGCCAGATTCCAAAGGGGTACCATCACCGATTTCGGGCGATTTTTTGGAAATGCCATTTTCGTTGGATTTTGAAGGCGATAAATCACAGAGTCGGGCTTAGGGTACTCTCCACCAACGATGAATTCTAGCAATGGCCGATTGGGGCGGGAATTTGGTCGAATTTTTCCGGAGGGCATTTTCGTGATTTTTAGGCGATTTTTTCGGAATGTCATTTTCCTTAGATTTTGAAGACTGCAGATCACAGATTCAGCCAGAGGGTATTCTTTACGGATGAATAAGTCTATTAACACCGATTCGGGCGGAAAATCTCCGGGGCAATTTTTGCCAGATTCCAAAGGGGTACCATCACCGATTTCGGGCGATTTTTTGGAAATGCCATTTTCGTTGGATTTTGAAGGCGATAAATCACAGAGTCGGGCTTAGGGTACTCTCCACCAACGATGAATTCTAGCAATGGCCGATTGGGGCGGGAATTTGGTCGAATTTTTCCGGAGGGCATTTTCGTGATTTTTAGGCGATTTTTTCGGAATGTCATTTTCCTTAGATTTTGAAGACTGCAGATCACAGATTCAGCCAGAGGGTATTCTTTACGGATGAATAAGTCTATTAGACACCGATTCGGGCGGAAAATCTCCGGGGCAATTTTTGCCAGATTCCAAAGGAGTACCATCACCGATTTCGGGCGATTTTTTGGAAATGCCATTTTCGTTGGATTTTGAAGGCGATAAATCACAGAGTCGGGCTTAGGGTACTCTCCACCAACGATGAATTCTAGCAATGGCCGATTGGGGCGGGAATTTGGTCGAATTTTTCCGGAGGGCATTTTCGTGATTTTTAGGCGATTTTTTCGGAATGTCATTTTCCTTAGATTTTGAAGACTGCAGATCACAGATTCAGCCAGAGGGTATTCTTTACGGATGAATAAGTCTATTAGACACCGATTCGGGCGGAAAATCTCCGGGGCAATTTTTGCCAGATTCCAAAGGGGTACCATCACCGATTTCGGGCGATTTTTTGGAAATGCCATTTTCGTTGGATTTTGAAGGCGATAAATCACAGAGTCGGGCTTAGGGTACTCTCCACCAACGATGAATTCTAGCAATGGCCGATTGGGGCGGGAATTTGGTCGAATTTTTCCGGAGGGCATTTTCGTGATTTTTAGGCGATTTTTTCGGAATGTCATTTTCCTTAGATTTTGAAGACTGCAGATCACAGATTCAGCCAGAGGGTATTCTTTACGGATGAATAAGTCTATTAAACACCGATTCGGGCGGAAAATCTCCGGGGCAATTTTTGCCAGATTCCAAAGGGGTACCATCACCGATTTCGGGCGATTTTTTGGAAATGCCATTTTCGTTGGATTTTGAAGGCGATAAATCACAGAGTCGGGCTTAGGGTACTCTCCACCAACGATGAATTCTAGCAATGGCCGATTGGGGCGGGAATTTGGTCGAATTTTTCCGGAGGGCATTTTCGTGATTTTTAGGCGATTTTTTCGGAATGTCATTTTCCTTAGATTTTGAAGACTGCAGATCACAGATTCAGCCAGAGGGTATTCTTTACGGATGAATAAGTCTATTAGACACCGATTCGGGCGGAAAATCTCCGGGGCAATTTTTGCCAGATTCCAAAGGAGTACCATCACCGATTTCGGGCGATTTTTTGGAAATGCCATTTTCGTTGGATTTTGAAGGCGATAAATCACAGAGTCGGGCTTAGGGTACTCTCCACCAACGATGAATTCTAGCAATGGCCGATTGGGGCGGGAATTTGGTCGAATTTTTCCGGAGGGCATTTTCGTGATTTTTAGGCGATTTTTTCGGAATGTCATTTTCCTTAGATTTTGAAGACTGCAGATCACAGATTCAGCCAGAGGGTATTCTTTACGGATGAATAAGTCTATTAGACACCGATTCGGGCGGAAAATCTCCGGGGCAATTTTTGCCAGATTCCAAAGGGGTACCATCACCGATTTCGGGCGATTTTTTGGAAATGCCATTTTCGTTGGATTTTGAAGGCGATAAATCACAGAGTCGGGCTTAGGGTACTCTCCACCAACGATGAATTCTAGCAATGGCCGATTGGGGCGGGAATTTGGTCGAATTTTTCCGGAGGGCATTTTCGTGATTTTTAGGCGATTTTTTCGGAATGTCATTTTCCTTAGATTTTGAAGACTGCAGATCACAGATTCAGCCAGAGGGTATTCTTTACGGATGAATAAGTCTATTAAACACCGATTCGGGCGGAAAATCTCCGGGGCAATTTTTGCCAGATTCCAAAGGGGTACCATCACCGATTTCGGGCGATTTTTTGGAAATGCCATTTTCGTTGGATTTTGAAGGCGATAAATCACAGAGTCGGGCTTAGGGTACTCTCCACCAACGATGAATTCTAGCAATGGCCGATTGGGGCGGGAATTTGGTCGAATTTTTCCGGAGGGCATTTTCGTGATTTTTAGGCGATTTTTTCGGAATGTCATTTTCCTTAGATTTTGAAGACTGCAGATCACAGATTCAGCCAGAGGGTATTCTTTACGGATGAATAAGTCTATTAAACACCGATTCGGGCGGAAAATCTCCGGGGCAATTTTTGCCAGATTCCAAAGGGGTACCATCACCGATTTCGGGCGATTTTTTGGAAATGCCATTTTCGTTGGATTTTGAAGGCGATAAATCACAGAGTCGGGCTTAGGGTACTCTCCACCAACGATGAATTCTAGCAATGGCCGATTGGGGCGGGAATTTGGTCGAATTTTTCCGGAGGGCATTTTCGTGATTTTTAGGCGATTTTTTCGGAATGTCATTTTCCTTAGATTTTGAAGACTGCAGATCACAGATTCAGCCAGAGGGTATTCTTTACGGATGAATAAGTCTATTAGACACCGATTCGGGCGGAAAATCTCCGGGGCAATTTTTGCCAGATTCCAAAGGAGTACCATCACCGATTTCGGGCGATTTTTTGGAAATGCCATTTTCGTTGGATTTTGAAGGCGATAAATCACAGAGTCGGGCTTAGGGTACTCTCCACCAACGATGAATTCTAGCAATGGCCGATTGGGGCGGGAATTTGGTCGAATTTTTCCGGAGGGCATTTTCGTGATTTTTAGGCGATTTTTTCGGAATGTCATTTTCCTTAGATTTTGAAGACTGCAGATCACAGATTCAGCCAGAGGGTATTCTTTACGGATGAATAAGTCTATTAGACACCGATTCGGGCGGAAAATCTCCGGGGCAATTTTTGCCAGATTCCAAAGGGGTACCATCACCGATTTCGGGCGATTTTTTGGAAATGCCATTTTCGTTGGATTTTGAAGGCGATAAATCACAGAGTCGGGCTTAGGGTACTCTCCACCAACGATGAATTCTAGCAATGGCCGATTGGGGCGGGAATTTGGTCGAATTTTTCCGGAGGGCATTTTCGTGATTTTTAGGCGATTTTTTCGGAATGTCATTTTCCTTAGATTTTGAAGACTGCAGATCACAGATTCAGCCAGAGGGTATTCTTTACGGATGAATAAGTCTATTAAACACCGATTCGGGCGGAAAATCTCCGGGGCAATTTTTGCCAGATTCCAAAGGGGTACCATCACCGATTTCGGGCGATTTTTTGGAAATGCCATTTTCGTTGGATTTTGAAGGCGATAAATCACAGAGTCGGGCTTAGGGTACTCTCCACCAACGATGAATTCTAGCAATGGCCGATTGGGGCGGGAATTTGGTCGAATTTTTCCGGAGGGCATTTTCGTGATTTTTAGGCGATTTTTTCGGAATGTCATTTTCCTTAGATTTTGAAGACTGCAGATCACAGATTCAGCCAGAGGGTATTCTTTACGGATGAATAAGTCTATTAAACACCGATTCGGGCGGAAAATCTCCGGGGCAATTTTTGCCAGATTCCAAAGGGGTACCATCACCGATTTCGGGCGATTTTTTGGAAATGCCATTTTCGTTGGATTTTGAAGGCGATAAATCACAGAGTCGGGCTTAGGGTACTCTCCACCAACGATGAATTCTAGCAATGGCCGATTGGGGCGGGAATTTGGTCGAATTTTTCCGGAGGGCATTTTCGTGATTTTTAGGCGATTTTTTCGGAATGTCATTTTCCTTAGATTTTGAAGACTGCAGATCACAGATTCAGCCAGAGGGTATTCTTTACGGATGAATAAGTCTATTCAACACCGACCCAGGCGGAAAATCTCCGGGGCAATTTCTGCCAAATTCCAAATGGGTAGCATCACCGATTTCGGGCGATTTTTTGGAAATGCCATTTTCGTTGGATTTTGAAGGCGATAAATCACAGATTCGGGTTTAGGGTACTCTCCACCAACGATGAAGTCTAGCAATGGCCGATTGGGGCGGGAATTTGGTCGAATTTTTCCGGAAGGCATTTTCGTAATTTTTAGGCGATTTTTTCGGAAGGCCATTTTCCATAGATTTTGAAGGTTGCAGATCACGGATTCAGCGTGAGGGTATTCTTTAGGGATGAATAAGTCTATTCAACACCGATCCGGGCGGAAAATCTCCGGGGCAATTTTTGCCAGATTCCAAAGGGGTACATCACCGATTTCGGGCGATTTTTTGGAAATGCCATTTTCCTTGGATTTTGAAGGCGATAAATCACAGAGTCGGGCTTAGGGTACTCTCCACCAACGATGAAGTCTAGCAATGGCCGATTGAGGCGGGAATTTAGTCGAATTTTTGCGGATGACATTTTCGTAATTTTTAGGCGATTTTTTTTAATGCCATTTTTCATTGATTTTGAAGGCTGCAGATCACGTATTCAGCGTGAGGGTATTCTTTATGGATGAATAAGTCTATTCAACACCGACTCGGGCGGAAAATCTCAGGGGCAATTTTTGCAAGATTCCAAAGGGGTACCATCACCGATTTCGGGCGATTTTTTGGAAATGCAATTTTCCTTGGATTTTGATGGCGATAAATCACAGAGTCGGACTTAGGGTACTCTCCCCCAACGATGAAGTCTAGCAATGGCCGATTGACGCAGGAATTTGGTCGAATTTTTCCGGAGGGCATTTTCTTAATTTTTAGGCGATTTTTTCGGAATGCCATTTTCCATAAATTTTGAAGGCTGCAGATCACGGATTCAGCGTGTGGGTATTCTTTAGGAATGAATAAGTCTATTCAACAACAACTCGGGCGAAAAATCTCCCGGGCATATTTTACCAGATTCCAAAACCATCACCGATTTCGGGCGATTTTTTGGAAATGCCATTTTCCTTGGATTTTGAAGGCGATAAATTTTAGATTTGGGCTAAGGGTACTCTCCACCGACCATCAAGTCTTCCGATGGCCGACTGGGGTGGGAATTTTGTTGAATTATTACTGGTGACATTTTCGTAATTTTTATAAGACTTTTTTCAGAACGCCATTTTTCGTAGATTTTGATGGCTGCAGATCTCGTATTCAGTCCGAGGGTATTCTTTAGGGATGAATAAGTCTATTCAACACTGACTCCGGCGGAAAATGTCCCAGGCAATTTTTGATAAATTCGAAAGGGGTATCATGACCGATTTCAGGCAATTTTTTGGAAAGTCCATTTTCCTTGGATTTTGAAGGCGATAATTCACAAATTCGGGCTTAGGTAATCTCCACCAAGGATGAAGTCTAGCAATGGCCAATTGGAGCAGGAATTTGGTCGAATTTTTCCGGAGGGAATTTTCGTTATTTTTAGGCAATTTTTTCGGAAGGCCATTTTCCATAGATTTTGAAGGCTGCAGATCACGTATTCAGCGTGAGGGTATTCTGCAGGAATGAATAAGTCTATTCAATACCGACTCGGCGGAAAATTTCATGGGCAATTTTTGCCAGATTCCAAAGGGGTATCATCACCAATTTTGGGCATTTTTTTGGAAAGGCCATTTTCCTTGGATTTTGAAGGCGATAAATCACAGATTCGGTCTTAGGGTACTTTCCACCAACGATGAAGTCTATCAATGGCCGATTGGGGTGGGAATTTGGTCGAGTATTTCCGGAGGCCATTTTCATAATTTTAGGCGATTTTTTCGAAGGCCATTTTCCATAGATTTTGAAGGCTGCAGATCATGGATTCAGCGTGAGGGTATTCTTTGGGGATGAATAAGTCTATTCAACACCGATTCGGACGGAAAATTTCTAGGGCAATTTTTGCCAGATTCCAAAGGGGTACTATTACCGATTTCGGGTGATTTTTTGGAAAGGTCATTTTCCTTGGATTTTAAAGGCGATAAATCACAAATTCGGGCTTCGGATACTCTCCACCAAGGATGAAGTCTAGCAATGTCCGATTGGAGCAGGAATTTGGTCGAATTTTTCCAGAGGGAATTTTCGTATTTTTAGGCGATTTTTTCGGAAGGCCATTTTGCATAGATTTTGAAGCCTACAGATCACGGATTCAGCGTGAGGGTATTCTATAGGAATGAATAAGTCTATTCAACAACGAATCGGGCGGAAAATCTCCTTGGCAATTTTTGCCAGATTCCAAAGGGGTACCATCACCGATTTCGGTCGATTTTTTGGAAATGCCATTTTTGTTGAATTTTGAAGGCGATAAATCACAGATTCGGGCTAGGGTAATCTCCACCAACGATGACGTCTAGCAATGGTTGATTGGGTTGGGAATTTGGTCGAATTTTTTCGGAGGGCATTTTCATAATTTTTAGGCAATTTTTTCGGAAGGCCATTTTCCATAGATTTTGAAGGCCGCAGAACACGGATTCAGCGTGAGGGTATTCTTTAGGGGTGAATAAGTCTATTCAACACCGATTCAGGGGGAAAATTTCCGTAGCAATTTTCGCCAGATTCCAAAGGGGTACCATCACCGATTTCGGGCGATATTTTGGAAAGGCTATTTTCCTTGGATTTTGAAGGCGATAAATCACAGATTCGGGCTTAGGGTACTCTCCACCAACGATGAAGTCTAGCAATGGTCATTTGGGGCGGGAATTTGGTCGAATTTTTTAGGAGGGCATTTTCGTAATTTTTAGTCGATTTTTTCGGAAGGCCATTTTACATAGATTTTGAAGACTGCAGATCACGGATTCAGCGTGAGGGTATTCTTTAGGGATGAATAAGTCTATTCAACATCGATTCGGGAGGAAATTTTTCGGGGCAATTTTTTCCAGATTCCAAAGGGGTACCATCACCAATTTCGTGCGATTTTTCGGAAATGCCATTTTCCTTGGATTGTTAAGGCGATAAATCACATATTCGGGCTTAGTTTACTCTCCACTAACGATGAAATCTAGCAATGGCCGATTGGGGTGGGAATTTGGTCGAATTTTTTCTTCTTCGTTGAATCAGTTGCTTTCTTCCAAAGAAAATAACCGATACAACGAAGTGGAATCACAAAGGATCCCATATGAGTCCATCACTCCACCCTCCTGCTATATATAAACTACTTACAGAACCAGCATACCAAAAAGCCTATAATTAATGAAGCTTTGTAATTGCATCTCGTAAACCTCTGTTCCCGCAAGTTAAGAACTGTAAATCCGCACGACTTTGCTCAGCAACTACCTTAGGATCTCATCTGGGGGATCCATGGACGACTTTGCACCGTTATTTCCAAATGAAAGCCACTATAAGACACCACAACAGAGCATGCCACCTCCTATCTTGCACATTCCTGTATAAACTGCAGTAAGAGCCTGCACCATTGCATCCCAGTTTTGAAAGCATAAAAAAATGAAACGCAGCTGTGCAGCTAGTCTGAGGGATAAAGTGCAGCTGAGAAACAAATGGTCTCGACTCTCAACTCCCACCCCACACAGGACAGAATGCATCTCGAATCTTACCCCATTTCAATAATTTGTATCTGGTAACAATGGCATTCCTCATGATCAACCAAGCGAGCAGGCTATATCTTGGGGGATAGCAGCTACTCCAAACAAGTTTGTACCAGAAGACTGCAGGTGCCTTCTTTCTTAGGGTGTCCCATACCTTGCGAACAAAGTAAACCAGCATCTCCGGAGAATCCCAGAGGATGATATCTCCTTGCTGAGTGATCCATGGTAAAATGATATCTCGTAGCTTTAGCAGCCTTCTCCATGTCCATGAGTTGCTGTATTGCACCCTCAAAGACCAAAGATCACCCTGGCCACACTTATATCCATACATCCATGCAACCCATAAAGTGCCAGCCTTCATTAGAAACAACCAGAGCATACGAATGGTACATGCCTGGTTCCAAGCCAATAGGTCTTTAACTCCAAGCCCACCCTCTTTCTTTGGTAAAGCCACAGACTCCCATGCCACTTTTGCTCTCCCAACATCAGTTCCATGCCAAAGGAATTGAGAACTGACCTGTTGAATCCTCTTCAGTGCTTTTTTAGGGAGTACAAAGAGTTGCATCCAATATTGGACAACTCCTAACAAGACTGAATTTACCAACTGCAGCCTCCCAGCATAGGTCAGCTTCCTTTCCCTCCAAGATTTAACCCGTTTAGTGATATTTTCCACTAAAATGTCCACCTCCTTCGATGAAAGCTTACCAGTCATCAATGGCAGCCCCAGATACCGAACATGCAATTCACCCTCTTTAAACCCATACAGAGAAAAAGCATTATCCTTGTATTTTACAGAATCACCCCCAAAATAGACTTCACATTTAGCAAGGTTACAGTTGAGCCTTGACAACTTATAAAACAGTTGTAGCACTTCCTTTACCTGAAGAATCGCTTGAGTCGAACCAGAGGTGAAAACCATAATGTCATTAGCAAAGCACATATGATTGAGGCCAATTCTTCGACACTGGGGGTGGAAAGGGATCCGTCCTGATTGACTTGCAGCTATCAACATGGATGAGAGACCCTCCATGGCAATAGTAAACAAGTATGGTGATAAAGGATCACCTTGACGAACCCCCTTCCTAGCCCTAAAGAAGCCACAAAGACCCCCATTGATATTTATACTATAATGAGCAGTTTGCAAGCAAGCCCTTATCCATTTCATGAACTGGTCAGGGAACCCATGGCATTCATCATAAGAAACAGGTAATTCCAACTAACTGAGTCAAATGCTTTCATGATTTCTATTTTTATTGCACATCTAGAGGATAATGTACTTCTGTTATATCCACTAACCAACTCCTGAGCCAGCAATGATGCTTCTCCCCTTAACAAAAGCTTACTGATTATTACTAATAATCAGAGGCATAACCTCACTAATCCTCCGAGCAAGAATCTTAGCCATTATTTTGTATAAAAGATGTACACATGAAATGGGTCTAAAATTCTTCAAGGTGTCAGCATTCAAAACTTTAGGAACCAAGGAAACAGTAGTAGCATTTACTCCACTAGGAAGATTACCTGTTTGAAAGAAGTAGATAACCCCTCTAGTCACATCATCTCCTATAATTGGCCATGCTCTCTTATAGAAGCCAGCAGAAAAACCATCTGGGCCTAGAGCATTCTGTGGGTTCATGCTAAAGACCACTCTCCAGACCTCCTCTGCTGTGATGTCTTTGATAAGATTCTCACACTCAGAGGTTGGAATGTGATGACGAATCATTTGAGCTATCTCCTCCTTTTCAGGTTTTATCTCCAAATTTGATTCCCCCAGTAACTTTTTATAAAAACAAACGACTTCCTCAACAATCTGATCAGATTGAAAAATCTCCTCTCCTGACTCCTTATCCAACTTCCTAATAGCTCTTTTTGAGTTGCGGATCTTGACAGCCTGATGAAAGAAGTGTGAACTCTGGTCTCCAACTGATAACCAAGACACCCTGGATTTCTGCCAGACAAAACTTTCATATGCCCGTGAGATATGATCATATTGGTCCTTCGCAAGTGTAACAGCCTCAAATGCTCTGTGGTAGGATCCGAGTAAGCTCTGGCTTGAACTTTCACCAACTCAACCTCAACCTCTTTAACCTTATCCTGTAAGTTACCATATATCTCCTTGTTAAACTTCTTTAAAGCTTGCTTAACTTTAGACAGCTTACCCTGTAGGACCTGCAGGGGATTCCCAAGTGCATCACTACCCCAAGCTTCTGCTACTATATCCAAGAAACTCGGATGATCTGCCCAAAACTCGAAATATCGAAATGGCTTAGTTAGGGATTTTACTGGTGCAACTGTACAAACTTGTATTCCACAATGATCAGAAAACTATGAAGGAAGAGCTTCCATAGTACAGTCCTTGAAATGCTCAATCCAATCAAAGATTAACCAGACCTCGGTCTAACCTCCTAGCAATAGGGTGATTAGCCTGCCTGTTAGTCCATGTGAATTGCGGCCCCAGTAGTTCGATAACCCACCAATTCCATCTCCCCGATCCAGTGATTAAAATCATTCATGCTCTGAGTAGATGACCGCTGATTAGAAGTCTCTTGTGGAATTCGAATAGTGTTAAAATCACCCCCCCTCCCCCACAATCCAAGGATGACCAACTACTTTTAATTGAGCAATTTCCTTGTAAGTGCTCTGCCTCTCCACCTCATCATTAGAAGCATAAACAGTAGTAAGAAAGAAACTAGCTCTATTTAAATCCTCCACCAAACAGTGTATAAAATACTTCATTGGTTTAAGAATCCGAAGCTTAATTGCAGGATCCCAAAACAGCCAGACACGACCTAACTTTGAGTCAAAGCAATTTAAACATTTCTCCCATCCAGCAAATACCTCCTCCACTACCTCCTCAGCTTTAGTAGCTTGTACCCTAGTCTCTAGAACTGCAACCACATCAACCTTATTCCTACGCAGGACTTGCAACAAGTCCCTTTGTTTGGAGGTTTTATTAAACCCCCTTACATTCCATAATAGAACAATCATTTCGAAGTTGGGGGTTTCCCCCCACCCTTCTTCACATCCTTCTTTACTTCCTTTTTTCGTGGAGCATCTTGGACCTTGCTTGCTTCCTTATCACCAAGCTTTCCCAGCACACTGAAAGATGAGTGTGAAACCTGATTACCCTTTGAACTGTCCTGTGAGAGCCAGACACGAGGTCTAGCCCCATTTACTACTCTCTGAAATTCATCCTCAGAGGGCAGCTTAGGAGAAGAAGAAGTGGCCACCTCTTGAAATGACTTCTCTAAATTCTGTGGGACAATCTGACCTCCCCCCATCGATGCAGAACTAGTAAATATGGCCATCAGCTGTGGATCATCATATACCACCACCTCTTTACCCTTCTCACTAGCACCTTGAAAATCAACAACTGCTTCCTGAATCACCTCTTCAACCATAACATCCCATCTCAGATCAGTACTTACTACCTGCTCCATCTGTACTGGTTTAGCCACCCATTTCTTGCCTTGGTGTTCAGCACATGATCTAGTGATCCCAAATAGATGACAAACCTGGCAGACTGGAGGTAGATTACAGTAAGTGACCCCAATTCGAATGGATGAATCATCATCTAGCCACAGAAGAACATGATCAGGACATTCGCTATCTACTGTAAGCTCCACCAGTACTTTTGCAAAACCATGTTTGTCCCCCATTCAAGTAGTATGATCCATTCCCTGTGGCACCCCAATCCAACTCGCTAATCTGCTTAGCCCCTGGAAATCATTGTACTCCAAGGGAACATTCGCCAAATTTACCCAAATCGGCAGAGCTTTCCTTCCCAGATCCTCAAAACTAATACCAGGCACCCAAGGTCGAAGATAAAGCAAATTATTGAACCAAAACCACGGACCATTCTCTAGAATCCACTCACAAACTTTTTGACTAGGCAATTGAATTAATAGCATTTTAGGCGATTTTTTCGGAAGACCATTTACCATAGATTTTGAAGATTGCAGATCATAGATTCAACGTGAGGGTATTCTTTAGGGATGAATAAGTCTATTCAACACCGTTTCGGGCGGAAAATTTCCGTTGCCAGATTCCAAAGGGGTACCATCACCGATTTCGGGCGATTTTTTGGAAAGGCCATTTTCCTTGGATTTTGAAGGCGATAAATCACATATTCAGGCTTAGGGTACTCTCCACCAACGATGAAGTCTAGCAATGGCCGATTGGGGCGAGAATTTGGTCGAATTTTTCGGAAGGGCATTTTCGTAATTTTTAGGCGATTTTTTTGGAAGGCCATTTTCCATAGATTTTGAAGGCTGCAGATCACGGATTCAATCTGAGGGTATTCTTTAGGGATCAATAAGTCTATTCAACACCGACTCAGGAAGAAAATCTCCGGGGCAATTTTTGCCAGATTCCAAAGGGGTACCATCACCGATTTCGGGCGATTTTTTGGAAAGACAAATTTCCTTGGATTTTGAAGGCGATAAATCACAGATTCGGGCTTAGGGTACTCTCCACCAACGATGAAGTCTAGCAATGGCTGATTGGGGCGGGAATTTGAATGAATTTTTAAGAGGGCATTTTCATAATTTTTAGGCGATTTTTTTTGGAAGGCCATTTTCCATAGATTTTGAAGGCTACAGATCACGGATTCAGCCTGAAGGTATTCTTTAGGGATGAACAAGTCTATTCAACACAGATTCGGGCGGAAAATTTCCAGGGAAATTTTTGCAAGATTCCAAAGTGGTACCATAACTGATTTCGGGCGATTTTTTGGAAAGACCATTTTCGTTGGATTTTAAAGGCGATAAATCACAGATTCGGGCTTATTGTACTCTCCAGCAACGATGATGTCTAGTAATGGCCGATTGGGGCGGGAATTTGGTCGAATTTTATAGAAGGGCATTTTCGTAATTTTTAAGCAATTTTTTTTCGGAAGGCCATATTCCAAAGATTTTGAAGGCTGCAGATCACGGATTCAGCCTGAGGGTATTCTTTAGGGATGAACAAGTCTATTCAACACAGATTCGGGCGGAAATATTCCAGGGCAATTTTTGCAAGATTCCAAAGTGCATAACTGATTTCGGGCGATTTTTTGGAAAGGCCATTTTCGTTGGATTTTAAAGGCGATAAATCACAGATTCAGGCTTATTGTACTCTCCAGCAACGATGATGTCTAGTAATGGCCGATTGGGGAAGGAATTTCGTCAAATTTTTTTGGAGGGCGTTTTCGTAATTTTTAGGTTATTTTTCCGAAAGACAATTTTCCTTGGATTTTGAAGGCTGCAGATCATGGATTCAGCCTGAGGGTATTTTTTAAGGATGAATAAGTCTATTCAACACCGATTCGGGTGGAAATTTTTTGGGGCAATTTTTGCCAGATTCCAAAGGGCCAAAGGGGCACCATAACCGATTTCAGGCGATTTTTTGGAAATGTCATTTTCTTTGGATTTTGAAGGCGATAAATCACAGATTCGGGCTTAGGGTACTCTCCACCAACGATGAAGTCTAGTAATGGCCAATTGGGAGGGAATTTGGTTGAATTTTTACGGAGGCCATTTTCGTAATTTTTAGGAGATTTTTTAGGACGACCATTTTCCTTAGATTTTGAAGGACGCAGATCACGGATTCAGTCTGAGGGTATTCTTTAGGGATGAATAAGTCTATTCAACACCGATTCGGGAGAAAAATTTTCGGGGCAATTTTTGACAGATTCCAAAGGGGTACCATCACTGATTTCGGGCACTTTTTTGGAAAGACCATTTTCCTTGGATTTTGATGGCGGTAAACCACAGATTCGGGCTTAGGGTACTCTCCACCCACGATGAAGTCTAGCAATGGCCGATTGTGGCGCGAATTTGGTCGAATTTTCCCGGAGGGTATTTTCGTAATTTTTAAGCGATTTTTTCGGAAGGCCATTTTCCATATATTTTGAAGGCTGCAGATCACTGATTAAGCCTGAGGGTATTCTTTAGGGATGAATAAGTCTATTCAACATCTACTCGGGCGGAAAATCTCCGGGGCAATTTTTGCCAGATTCCAAAGGGGCACCATCACCGATTTCGGGCGATTTTTTGGAAAGGCCATTTTCTTTGGATTTTGAAGGCGATAAATCACAGATTCGGGCTTAGGGTACTCTCCACCAACGATGAAGTCTAGTAATGGCCAATTGGGAGGGAATTTGGTTGAATTTTTACGGAGGGCATTTTCGTAATTTTTAGGCGATTTTTTAGGACGACCATTTTCCTTAGATTTTGAAGGATGCAGATCACGGATTCAGTCTGAGGGTATTCTTTAGGGATTAATAAGTCTATTCAACACCGATTCGGGCGAAAAAATTTTGGGGAAATTTTTGCCAGATTCCAAAGGGGTACCATCACTAATTTCAGGCGCTTTTTTGGAAATACCATTTTCCTCGGATTTTGAAGGCGATAAACCACAGATTCGGGCTTAGGGTACTCTCCACCAACGATGAAGTCTTGCAATTGCCGATTGGGGCGCGAATTTGGTCGAATTTTTCCGGAGGACATTTTCGTAATTTTTAGGCTATTTTTTCGGAAGGCTATTTTCCATATATTTTCAAGGGTGCAGATCACGGATTAAGCCTGAGGGTATTATTTAGGGATGAATAAGTCTATTCAACATCTACTCGGGCGGAAAATCTCCGGGGCAATTTTTGCGAGATTCCAAAGGGGCACCATCACCGATTTCGTGCGATTTTTTGGAAATGCCATTTTTCTTTGGATTTTGAAGGCGATAAATTATAGATTCGGGCTTAGGGTACTCTCCACCAACGATGAAGTCTAGTAATGGCCAATTGGGAGGGAATTTGGTTGAATTTTTACGGAGGGCATTTTTGTAATTTTTAGGCAATTTTTTAGGACGACCATTTTCCTTAGATTTTGAAGGACGCAGATCACGGATTCAGCCTAAGGGTATTCTTTAGGGATTTCGGACGCTTTTTTGGAAAGGCCATTTTCCATATATTTTGAAGGCCGCAGATCACCGATTAAGCCTGAGGGTATTCTTTAGGGATGAATAAGTCTATTCAACATATACTCGGGCGGAAAATCTCCGAGGCAATTTTTGCCAGATTCCAAAGGGCTACCATCATCGATTTCGGGCGATTTTTTGGAAATGCCATTTTTCTTGGAATTTGAATGCGTTAAATCACAGATTCGGTCTTAGGGTACTCTACACCAACGATGAAGTCTAGTAATGGCCGATTGGGCGGGAATTTGGTCGAATATTTCCGGATGGCATTTTCGTAATTTGTTGGCCATTTTTTTGGAAGACCATTTTCCTTAGATTTTGAAGGCTGCAGATCACAGATTCAGCCTGAGGGTATTCTTTAGGAATGAATAAGTCTATTCAACACCGATTCGGGCGGAAAATTTCCGGGGCAATTTTTTTTAAGTGATAGGTGTTGACTTGATGGTAACGTGACATGTTAACCGTTAGTGAACGCGTTTGACCGTCCAAGCTAAACGCATACAACTTTCTTTTCCTCATAACAAATAGATTCAAGTTGTTCCAATAAGAAAAACAAAGTAAAGATTTTACCAGATTACATAACCGAAAAATGAACCATCTGAACAAACCGATCCCAACCCAAAACTTCACCCTGTAGAAAGATGACATTTCCCAAAACGGTAACGAAATTCCGCACATGAAATGAAACAAAGCAAAGAAAACAAAACCTGACCACAAATAATACAATTGGTTTCCGAAAAGTCCCCCCACAAGATAGAAAAAGAAAACAGCGGTCCGGCCTATTCATACCAAGCCATCCAACCCATGAACCACTGGAAAACCGAACCAACCCCAACTTCCTTCATCAGCACCCGCTTGTGTCACAACGCCACCGCCGCCGCCGCCAGCCCAACCACAAACACCACCACCCTGTTCCCCGCCATAAACCTCTCCCTCTCCCCACCGTCCGATGCATCCTTTGCCACTCCGGCCGGGCTGTCCGCATCACCCTCTCCCCCCTTCTTCTTCTTCGCCTTCTCCGGCGCCGGCGCCGGAGCCGGCGGCTTCGGCGTGAACAGATCCAGAGGCTGCAGCACCTTGTCGACCTGGTAAACCGCCAGCTGCCCGTCCGTGTAAACCGTCCCCGAAACACTCGTATTGGTCAGTCCGGTCGTTATGTTGACCGAATTCCCCGACGTGGTCACGTTGAGTGCCAGCCGGTTTCCGGTCCCGGCCTGGGTGGTGACCGGGTTGCTGACGGTCTGGAAAGTGGAGGAAGAAAGGTACATTGGGACGATGTGGAATTGAACGAGCTCCGATTTCTCCTGGTCGTTCAGGGCGTTGAGGGTCCCCGATTTCAGGGTGGTGAACGCGCTGTCGCTGGGGGCGAAGATGGTGATGGCGTTGTTGGAGTTGTTGAGCTGGCCGTTCAGCGTCAGGTCTTCTCGGGTTGCCTTGATAAGCCTGATGAAGACGCTGAACTGCCCTGCCTTTTCCAGAATCTTGGTTATGTTGACTGGTCCAGCCGGGGCCGGCGCGGCGGCGGGGGATTGGGCGGAGGAGGTGTGGAGAAGGAGTGAGATGATGAGGAGGGAGAAAGGGAGGAGCTTTTGTGGCGCCATTGTTGTTGTTGATGTTGCTGGCGAGGTGTTCGACGAATTGTGTGAGAGAAGAAGAGTTTGGGATGGGGGGGATTTTATGGTGGTCGTGGGGAATGTCTTTTTGAATTTGGTGTAATGTAAGCATTATTGCAGTTAGCTGAATATGGAAAAGAGGGGTATAATGGCGGTTGGGATTGTATTGTCACTGTGATTTCAAGGTGGGATTTGAGAGGATGGTGAATTGAAATCAGTGGGGGAGAGGGGATACTGTGGGAGCGACTGTGTTGCTTGGAGTTGAAGGAAGGAGGGAGTATGGCAATGGGGTCTATTCGTCGACGACATGATTGCTCTGTTTTTGCTTCTTCAGTCGACTTTGTTGAGCAATGATCAACTGTATTGATTTTTGCTGCATCCTTAAGAAACAAGCTGTCAGGGGTTTCTTCCTCAGTTATTTATTCATTTGCCTTTTCACCCCCGGACGAGGAGATTTCATCTTTGGCAGAGAGTGTAAAAATTGTTTACGCTATTTCTTTCCTAAAACATCGATTAATCCATATCGTTTTACAGTGCACATTACAGAGTGGTTAAGCACATTTGGTCACTATGTACCCTGAAGCGGGAGGAGACGTACTTAGTAGCATAACTGGGGATAGATATAGGTATGATTATGAAGGCTTTTAAGATAATTGCAGCACTGGCATGGCCAGGTCACACCATCTTGTTGCTTTGTGTCCGATGTGTCCCTCTGAACTGCAAACAAGATATGACATGCCAACTCTCACGTCAGCTTATCCCATCCACCCACCGGTTGTTTGGGGGAATGAAATTGCAGCAAAAAATAGCTACCAGGAAGGTAGAGAACAACATCAATAGACCACAGCAAATGATCAAATACTTCTCTGTTCTAGATCGATCATGTATACTACATCAGATCATACAGAAGGAAAGGCAGAGCCGCTTGTTGCTAGCAAAATATGCCACAGCATGGCTAGCAAATGGTGGTTCCGCTGTTCGTTATCAGCTGGGGGGAAAAATGACTAGTTTACACTCATAAACGATCATGATTGTCGAGCTACGTGCTGATATTGCAAAGGTAACTGCCTCCTCCGTTCTACCACCAGGTCTACTCTTGCGCCTTCTTTATCCTTGCTGCGATGCAGCTGATTTCCGTGCTTCTAAAGCATCCTCGGCTCTTAATTTCACAGGGACGAAATCTGCCAACACAAACAAGAATACCGTGATTAGTAACTGCATCTAGGATGATGCTGAAGAAATTAGGTCACCTGCAGCAGCAGTAATTGAAGTAAAATAGAGTCGGTGGTGAATAATATTCTGAAATGTACCTGAGAGAAAATCAAATCTCTCGTTCTTGCTAACAACTGTTGCTGAAAATCACAGAATAAACAAAGCTTCAGATACTAAGTATCATGGACAGAAAAGAAAGAACATCTCCCAAAACGTGGAGTAGAAATCAACAGCATTCGATTTGCATCAGTTCAGTCCAGTCCAGTTCTTTGCTATTGCTGATTATAATGTAATCTAAACTATCTAAGGAAGCACCAATAAGAGACGGAACAGAAAGATATAGTTCAGAATTCAGAGAACAAGAAATCACACATAATGAGAACTTGACAGCATAGTTAGCGAATTTCACAGCCATGATTACGCTAGCTCGATTCGGACACAACACTATCGTTTAGAAGAAGGTTCAGAATCTAGCAATTAAATAACATCAAAAGCACAATCTCATAAACACACCAGTGACTGGAGAGTGGGGACTAAATGGATGATATTGTACAGAAAGAAAGCAACTTTACATTCTAAACCAGAGCAACAGTGACAAATAACCCACTTGAATTAGCTTCTGGGGCCATACATTCTCAAGAAAAGAAGCTCTACCCAAGTCTCAATTTCAGCTGAATGCAATATAAAAGGGGGTAAATCTCGTTCTTACCTAATTGTTTGTACTCGAGCGATTTCTTTTTATCCCGAACTGCGCAACGATGTGCTTCTTCACAGAACTTCTCCAAGAACATCTCCTGCAATCCCAATCACCAATACAAATCATTAAGAGAGAAAAAAACCCTAGAATCTCAGGTCAATCATAGAACGCCAATAAGCGAAAGAAGAAGGAAATGTACCGTGGCTTTATTGACGAGGAAAACCACATCTTGACCCTCCAAACCCGGTTGCAGATTCGGCGCTTCGCTCGTCATTATCCTTCTAATCCTCGCCATCGGAAACCGGAACATTGTCCCCTCGTCTCCTTCTTCTCCTCCGTCTTCGGTTCCTTCCTCTCTCTTCTTCTTGCCTTTCTCTGCTTTCGAGATTTTCGAATTCCCATTCGGAGTCCTGCCTTCATCTCCATTCTCTTCCCCTTCCTCCTCCTTTTCGGACTCGCAGCTAGAGGAAGGGACCACGAGCTCCTCCGGCTCGACCTCCTTCTTATTCTTCTCCTTCTTCACTGGCGTCGCTTTGGTGGGCGTTTTTGCCTTGGTGGGAGACTTTACCGGCGTCGTCGTCTTCTTCTTTTGAGGCGATTTGGAATTCGCGGCGGCAGGAGGTTGTTTACCACCCTTGCTCGGAGATTTGGTTACGGCCAACGCCTTGCCGTTTGCCTGCGGCCGCTTGTCATTCTTCTTCTTCTTGTCCTCTTCCTTGGCTTTCTTACTGGACGCCATTGCTGGTTTGGGGCAGAAACTAGGCTCTAGCTGAGAAACGATGAATTGAAAATGCGAGTGAAATCTCTATGGGCCTAATTAGTCCAGGCCCAGTTTTTCAGATCCGCTGTGGGCTGGCCTCGAACGTCACGACAAACTGGAATACTGGATCAATTAGGAGGCTCAATCAAAATGGTGGATAGTGTAAATAATTAAATAATTAATGCGGGACGTTTTGCTTGAATGTCAGAGGAGGAATCTTCATTCAGTTAGTGTGGCTGGGGATGCGAAGATCATAATTGACAAGTGTTGTGCCAGAGATTTTCACCATTCCAAAGTCGGTATTCTTCTGAAGGAAATATGTTGCTTGCTGGATGATTTACCGGATTACTCGCTTAGGTTCATTGGTCGTTCTAACAACAGGGAAGCTCATTCTGTGGCTCGTCATGCCCTGTTCATGTCGCATATGTTTAAGGGGTTCGACTTCGTTTCTTGGTTACGATGTATGTAAGGATCCTTTTGGATCTTTTTCAGATAATGTATCTTTTTCATTCCCCGCTTCTGGGGTTTTGAATGGCAAAAAAAAGTAAATAATTAAATATTTATGGATCCGTTTACCACTCTTCATATTCGATCTCTCCAAATCTTCCCATCGGATTCGACAATCGCCTAACCTCCTTCACCTACATTGTTACTCAAAGCAATTTTCGGAGGAGTAGATATGGAAAGGTTGATTGTTCTTGCTTGTAGAGCTTACTTATGGGTTATTTAGTTTCTTTGACAGTAATGTGTGATCTCTTAACATCAATTCATTTGGTTGATCTTCTAGGTTGACTTTTGAATTGATTAAAGATAAATAGCTATACTTTTTGTTATGATACTCCTTTTCAGTATCATCATTTTTCTGATTTGAAATGTTTTTGTGGTTAGTTTACAGTAAACAAAGACTATTCTGATTAGTGTTAACATAGGAAATAGCTTCAATCATACCACTTTTACACAAAATTTATATGTAAGAGTTGAGATCATTGTCGAATTGATCTGTTCAAGCTATAATGTTGATCTTCAATGTATAAAACATGGTCTCTTTTGAGTGAAATAACCTCATGATTGCAGATATGTTTTTACAATATGATGTTTCATGATAGTGGTCACTTGCTTCCAGATTTAAAAGTGGGGTTCTAATTACTACAATATAAAAAGCACGAGTGATAGCGATAATTGGAGCAGATACAAGATGGTTTGATATCCTTCTCTCTACAAGGAATAAATACACGGTGAGCATATGCTGTCATGGGAATGACAAATCAAACTCTTTGTGTTTGTAGTATAGCATGTTGATATATACGCATGTCTAGACCTGATCGATTGGGCATATCCACCTAGAAATTATGGATTTTTGCTCATCAAAAGCGCCTCCTTAATCCTTATATTTTTCTTAATCAGCACATGCACACTCTCAGATAGGGGTGGCTATACGGTCCGGTCCGGTTAAATTGGCCCAAATTGATCCGGTCCAGTCCGGTCTTTTTGAAAATATAAGGACCGAAGATTGGATTGGATACAGTCCGGTCATGATCCGGTCTGGTTTTGATCCGGTCCGGTCCCAATTCGGTCTTGATTTTACATTGAGATTGTGGGATTTGAGTGGCCTAAGGCCTTAAAGGGTGAGGAGTTGGTTAAGTTTTGTACTAAGTGCAAAGGTTTGTGACCGTTTATGCAAATTACCCTTAAGTTTTGGGTGTTGAGCTCTCTTATCCGGTCTTTATCCGGTTTTTTACCTCAAATCTAAGCCCAAAGATTGGATTGTTTACTATCCGGTCCCGGTCCGGTCTCGGTCCGGGTTATACGATCCGGTTTCCAGTTTTTAATCGGGTCCCGGTCCAAATAGCCACCCCTACTCTCATAGGAAACATGTACAAAATTGTAATTTAGGTGGTTCATTAGTGTTGTTTCCATAAGATTGTATTATATGAGATGGTTGTTCTAGAATTGTGAATCGTGATTGTATCTCCTCTAATAAATTGTCAAGTTAAGCTATAAAGAAGCTAACCTGAGCTTCCTCTTTAATTTAGATTGTAAGGGAGCAATGACCCATGTCAAATTGATTGGGGGTTGACATGTCCGAGAAACAATTTAGCCTTCTGACTCGACTCTACTGTCACTCCAGGAATTGGCCAAGTGAAACCACTTCCTAAAGCGTAGTATAGCGGGTTTGGGTTTAATTATCAACCCGGGTCCTAGATATGATGACTACTCAGTGAATTCGTGTTATCTAGCAATGAAACTGGAATGCAAGTCTAAACTATCAAACTAACAAAGCAAGTAAACTGTTGTATTCAGGTTAAGAGAGGTCACCCGGATATGGTTCCCCCTAGACTGCAGTTAAGCTGGATTGTAATTACCAAGTTCAGTTTCTATGAAAGTTATACTGCGGAAGGTTCTTAAACAGCCTGAAGTCTCGACTAAAGGTCTTCAGACCCTCTCAATCTGAATCTCTAGCGGGCGACTAACCTCCACCGGAGTAGACAGATTGAGGCCCTAAGAACGAAACCTCCACTACCGGAGTAAATCCGGTACAGAATAGTGAGTTGGTTCCTCGACTAAAGTCACCAACTCCCTACCTTCAATCAAGGATACTCTCTTAACCTAGGCAGATATTCTCATTCTAGGTTAAAGCAGAAACAACAGGAGTTTGATCAGGATTCAAGTCATTCAATCATTAAAACCTCAATCGAATATAATCAATCACAGAATCAGTACTTGGGTTCATACAATCAAAGCCTAACATACAAATCTAGGGTTCTCCATACCTAGATGAATGGGAGAACTACTCCATGGAGAAGAAAGCAAACGCAGAATCAGACACGGAATTCATACTGCGAAGGATGGATTCCTGCTTCTGGACGTTGATTGGCACTTCTCCAAGCTCAAGCTGGCCTCCAATGGTGTTGAAGACCAATCTAGGGCACTTGGGAACTCTTGCTCGTCACCTTCTCTCTCTAGGAATCGTTCTATCTCTCAAAAACTCGAATCCCCTTGACTTGTGGCTGAAAATCTGCTTAAAAGCATCAGTGGCCAAACCACGGTCGAGGGCACGGCCGTGCTTTGCCTGAGCCTGCCCGTGCCTCGGCCAGTGTTAATTACACGGCCAGCAGTTGGGATAAACACGGCCGTGCTTCGCGTTGGACACGACCGTGCTTTGGTGGAACACGGCCGTGCTTTGTCTCGGCCCTGCCCGTGTAATCAGCTCAGCTCTCGACATAAAAAGCACGGCCACAGGAACACGGCCGTGTAATGCCTTAGGTGTGCCCGTGTTTTGGCCCCAGCTTGACGAAATGACCTCCGAATGCCCCGAAACTCGTGGTTAACCTTCCCTTTGACGCCTGGGACCTGAGATATGACAAAGTAGCACAACCCGGCGTAAAATAGGCCAAAACACACGACTATGCCCCTCAAACGGATAAGAACTAGGGGCGCAAACATGTGCAATTACATCGTTATCAAACTCCCCCACACTTAACCGTTTGCTTGTCCCCAAGCAAACCTAACTCAAACCAATGCAACTCTCCAGACCTCTATAGCAACAAATAACCCAGATCGTAGGTAGAGGACTTCCTAGATTATTTAGCAACTTACGAGGTCAACCGACGCACAAATCATCTCACAGCTTCTTTGGCGAGTCAGCATCATGGCAAACAGTGAACAGAGGACAAATGAATCGTGGATGGAGAGATTCTCAAAAACAAAGGATCATGGACTCACATTTTTCAAGGTGCTCAATTTTCTTTGAAGATGGTTGGAACCCCTTTTTTTTTTCTGTTTTGCTTGTTTTCTGTTATTTTTCTTTTCTTTTCTTTTCAAGGGTCCCAACCTGCTCTTACCGGCCATGCCAGGAGCGGATGTCTCGAGCCTCGTACAGGGGGAAAGACATGTAAGGGGGCTGGAGGTAGTAGGTGGAAATTGGGAACGAATTCCCGTCTCCCCTTACACACTTTCGCCCTATTCGCACGGGAGACGTTTATTTTGAAGCACATTTTCGAGCACCTGTTATTTTCAAAACATGACACAAGAGTCCATGACAGGTAGAAAATCCACAACATCACACAATTCAAGGGTCCTAAGATCACTAATTCACTCAATCAACCAACACAATATGAAGAAGAAATGGGATTTCTTAAATGCATCAACATCCTCCATAGTGCTACACTACCTCCCTAGGTTGCATATTACTATAAAGACTGTCAATTCAAAGCATATTGAGCAGGCAATTGCAAGGAAACACGTACTTGGAGCCCTCAAATTTAAAAAATTTGGACAGTGGACTAGGCTCCAAGCACACAAACAGATCTAATGCAGTCAAAAGACAAACCCCCCCCCCCCCCCCCCCCCCCACTTAAGATCGACATTGCCCTCAATGGAGAAGAGGGAAGGGAAAGGGGAACGATGTTACCGGTATGCACTGACTGCAGGGGACTGGAAGGGGGCCAGTCGGGGCAAGCACAACCAAAGGGGAACAGAAGAGCTCAAACACAATATGTTAGGTTCAATGGTCAGCCCAATAAAGTATCATCCAAACCAAAAGAAAACAAACCAAACCCAAACCGGGTTACAATCCGACTCAAAACACAAGAAAGAAAATCAAACCGTGGTGGGGTTGCCTCCCCACAAGCGCTTCTTTACCGTCTTTTAGCTGGACGCCCATGGTGGATACTCAGGAAGGTGAAGGAACAGGTGCCTCCAAGAGCGGATCCACGTCGCTCTTGAGGTACAGCTTCAGGTTGTGGCCATGCACCCGCCGGATGCGACCACCATCATCAGTCAGCTCGACCTGGCCATCCGGCAAGATGCAGGCGAGTGAGTACCCGGACGGCCAGGGTGGTCGTGGTGCAGGAGGTGGGACCAGCTCATAGTGGTCTCCACTCTTCTTCCGTGCAGGCTTAGCAACCTGCTGCTTCGGCCGCCACTCCTCCTTGAGCTTTTTGTTCGGAGGCGAGGCTGGATGGAGTGGCGGCGAAGGAATGATAGGAGGGTCCTGCAAAATAGGAGGTGCAGAAGGGTACACGACAGACTCGTGTACCTGATCAGAAATGGCATGCACAGGGGTGACAGCAATCATAACACAGTGATCAAACTCAGTCACAGAGAAAGTAGCATGTTCATTCCCAGCACGCAAGATCAATTTACCATCATGCACATCAATAAGTGCCTTGGCGGTGGCGAGAAATGGCCTACCTAGAATCAAAGGCACATCCACATCCTCATGTATATCAAGAATAACAAAATCAACAGGATATGTGAATGCACCGACACTGACAAGCAGATCCTCTATGATTCCCCTAGGATGCACGATAGAACGATCAGCTAACTGAATGCTCATCCTAGTAGGGCTAAGTTCACCTAGGTCTAGCTTTTTGTACAACTTATATGGCACGACATTAATGCTAGCGCCTAGGTCCGCCAAGGACTTGCCTACATGCATGCTGCCAATAGTAAGAGGGATAGTAAAACTCCCTGGATCCTTGCGCTTCTCGGGCAGCTTGTTTTGCAGGATAGCAGAACACTCCTCGCTCAGAATCACTGTCGAGAGATCCCCAAGTTTCTTCTTGTTGGTGCAGAGATCTTTCATGAACTTCGCGTACTTGGGCATCTTCGACAGTGCCTCCACGAACGGTATGCTGATGTTGAGCTGCTTCAACATTGCCATAAACTTGGCAAACTCAGTCTCCAGCTTGTCTTTGTGTAGGCGAGTGGGGAAGGGAAGCTGGGGCACATGCTCCTTAACCACTGGTTGTGGCTTGGGAGCAGGGGCTTCCTTCTCCACCCGCACTTCTGCATCGTCGGCTGGAAGTGCTGAAGCAGGCAGTGGTTCCTCCTGTCTGGCCGGGACAGGATCAGCAGATATAGTCTTACCGCTCCTGGTAAAAATGGCATCCAGCTGCTGATGCTGGTGAGGATCTCGAGGATTCGGGACAGTGGTGGCAGGCAAAGTCCCCGGTGCCCTAGTGGTGTTCTGGCGGGCCAAGATGCCCACCTAGGTCTGCAGATCCTGCAAAATGGCACCCTGGTTCCTCTGACCTGCCTCCAGTGAGGCTACACTCTGGTCCAACCTCGTGATAGTCGCCTGAGTGCTCGTCATGAATGAAGCTAGAATGTTTTCCAGCTTCATCATCCTGTCATCTGGGGCTGGAGCTACTGCTGGCTTGGCAAACTGGCACTGGGGCTGCTGGAATGGCTGCCCCTGCCTAGGCTGGTAGGGCTGCTGCTGTGGGTCTGGCCCCTGGCGAGCCTGGAAGGGCTGCCTCTGCTGAAAACCACCTGCTGGTGCTGGGAAACCGGGTGGTTTAGTGGTGTTGCTGCTCCAGGCGAAATTGGGATGCTGGCGCCACCCCTCATTATATGTGTTACTGTATGGATCGAGGCGCCGCGCATTGGCGATGAAGGCCAACTGCTCCTGGGGTGTGGTGGACTCCCTCATAGCCTGGCAGTCTTCCACTAAGTGATTCGAGCTCTCACACCACTGACATTGAGCAACTGGAATTGTAGCCAAACCTCTACCTGGAATAAGACTGTTGGGCTGCTTCAATGTATGCACTAGCTCAGCTACCTGCTGCTCGAGCCCGGATCTGGTCTCCATGGCGTGCACACCACGGTCCCTGGAATGTCTGCCTCTGCTGCTCTGCCCCCAGGAATGATCTCTGGCAGCCAATGTATTAATCATCTGGTTCAGCTCGGGTGGAGTCTTAGTGAGAACATCCCCTCGTGGGCATAGAGACTCAATCACCCTCTGGCTGTCTAGAGAGAGAGCACTGTAGAAATTCCCCACTGTGAATGCATCACTAAAGCCATGGTGGGGACACTGCCAGAAATATCCCATGTACCGCTCCCATGCATCACGAAGTGACTCATCTGGCTCCTGGCGGAAGTGAGTGATCTCCCGCTGAATCTCTGTAGTCTTCGATGCCGGATAGTACCTGTGCACGAATTTGTCAGCCAGATCGTCCCAAGAGGTGATGGGCAATGGGGGCTGGGTCTCCAACCACCTCTTAGCATTCCCCGCCAGAGAATGGGGGAAAAGATGAAGGCGAATTGCATCATCCGGGACACCATTCAGCTTGAACCCGTTCGTCAGCTGCAGAAAACGGGAGAGATGTACCCTGGCCTCCTCATCCTTCAAGCCATGGAACTGGATGGAAGAGGTAATAAGCTGAATCCAGCATGGCTTGATCTCGAAGTTGTTTGCTGGGATAGGCGGGTAGAGGATGACCGGGCGGATGTCAGCAATCCGCGGAGTGTAGTAGTACTCCAAGGTGGGACCCGGCTGCGGTGGATGATGAACTCCATGATCCTGGGGTATGGGGTTGTTCCCCAGGACCTGATTCACCGGGGGAGCCTGCTGAGGATTCCCCTGGTGTTGATTGTACTCTCCGTCCATCCCGTGCTCTTCTTCAGAATCACTGCTCACGTGGCCGTCTATGCGCTCTTCCGTAGCCAGTCTAGCTCGCTGTTGTCTCCTGGGCTGGCGACAGGTGCGGTCAATCTATGGATTCAACGGCAGTAAACCTCCCGACTGGCTACGGGTCATGCACTACCTGCACACTCTCAAGCAAGCAAACCCGTGAAGGCACAAGTGGGACAAAGCAAACAAAGCAAAAAGAAAAAGGCTAAATTAACAGAAATCACTTTTCTTCAACAACCTAGCCGTCCCCGGCAACGGCGCCAAAAACTTGACTCGACTCTACTGTCACTCCAGGAATTGGCCAAGTGAAACCACTTCCTAAAGCGTAGTATAGCGGGTTTGGGTTTAATTATCAACCCGGGTCCTAGATATGATGACTACTCAGTGAATTCGTGTTATCTAGCAATGAAACTGGAATGCAAGTCTAAACTATCAAACTAACAAAGCAAGTAAACTGTTGTATTCAGGTTAAGAGAGGTCACCCGGATATGGTTCCCCCTAGACTGCAGTTAAGCCGGATTGTAATTACCAAGTTCAGTTTCTATGAAAGTTATACTGCGGAAGGTTCTTAAACAGCCTGAAGTCTCGACTAAAGGTCTTCAGACCCTCTCAATCTGAATCTCTAGCGGGCGACTAACCTCCACCGGAGTAGACAGATTGAGGCCCTAAGAACGAAACCTCCACTACCGGAGTAAATCCGGTACAGAATAGTGAGTTGGTTCCTCGACTAAAGTCACCAACTCCCTAACTTCAATCAAGGATACTCTCTTAACCTAGGCAGATATTCTCATTCTAGGTTAAAGCAGAAACAACAGGAATTTGATCAGGATTCAAGTCATTCAATCATTAAAACCTCAATCGAATATAATCAATCACAGAATCAGTACTTGGGTTCATACAATCAAAGCCTAACATACAAATCTAGGGTTCTCCATACCTAGATGAATGGGAGAACTACTCCATGGAGAAGAAAGCAAACGCAGAATCAGACACGGAATTCATACTGCGAAGGATGGATTCCTGCTTCTGGACGTTGATTGGCACTTCTCCAAGCTCAAGCTGGCCTCCAATGGTGTTGAAGATCAATCTAGGGCACTTGGGAACTCTTGCTCGTCACTTTCTCTCTCTAGGAATCGTTCTATCTCTCAAAAACTCGAATCCCCTTGACTTGTGGCTGAAAATCTGCTTAAAAGCATCAGTGGCCAAACCACGGTCGAGGGCACGGCCGTGCTTTGCCTGAGCCTGCCCGTGCCTCGGCCAGTGTTAATTACACGGCCAGCAGTTGGGATAAACACGGCCGTGCTTCGCGTTGGACACGGCCGTGCTTTGGTGGAACACGGCCGTGCTTTGTCTCGGCCCTGCCCGTGTAATCAGCTCAGCTCTCGGCATAAAAAGCACGGCCACAGGAACACGGCCGTGTAATGCCTTAGGTGTGCCCGTGTTTTGGCCCCAGCTTGACGAAATGACCTCCGAATGCCCCAAAACTCGTGGTTAACCTTCCCTTTGACGCCTGGGACCTGAGATATGACAAAGTAGCACAACCCGGCGTAAAATAGGCCAAAACACACGACTATGCCCCTCAAACGGATAAGAACTAGGGGCGCAAACATGTGCAATTACATCGTTATCACCTTCTTTAGAGTATCACAAGATCCTAATAGTATCTCAACCAAAGCAATTTTTGTTTTCATGCCTGATGTTGATACAAGTTGTTTACCTAGAGGAGAGTCCCAGCAAGTTAGCTCTTGGAGTTGCGATGTGAAAATGGGTAAGGCAGAAATGGTTTATACAAAAGGCCATACTATGATCATATAGAATGCGTTGGTAGAGATAGTCATCAATCTCATTTTATTGATAAAGCCACCGAGGAGAAGAGAGGAATCACAATTGGTACTCTAAATTTTACAAGGCTATTATAATGATCATTCCTTTCATTTCATGTAAATTGATATCATGAATGAAGTGATATTACCCCAAGCCATAAATTGCAGCAAGGAATGATCGTTTGAATTAATGTGCACTAATGCAAAATGCCATATATCTGCCAATAAGGAATAAGAGTGGACCAATCAGTGTGTTTGCTGTCGAGAAGGATAAGAATCGTGATAATGGGGATGGTTCATGACGATTGACATATACAAATTGAAGTGATTGAAAGTACAGAGTTGTAAGTCATTTGTGTGTTTAGTGTAGCAGAGTGGTTAGGAGTGATTTGGTAGGATTTCACAGTGGTATGGATATTGACAAAAGTTATTGGAAATTCCTACAATACCTTGAAGTTATTGTAACTTGATGTTTTTGACTTGCTATAACAAGTTTCACAAGTCGCATTACTTAAAATACAATAGGCATTACGTAATGGTTACGTAATATGTGTTTATCTTATATAATAGTTGAAACATGTCATTACGGAAACCTTACGTAATAGACACTCATTGTACGTAATGAATATTAACCTTTCGTTACGTAATCTGTTAAATCATTACGGAAGACTTACGTAATTCTTCTAATTTAGCTATTACGTAAGACATAGCTATCGTTACGTAACCTTTACGTAATAGATGCATACTTTGCGTAACAGTTGTGAAGTGTCATTTCGGAAGCCTTACGTAATGGATGGTCCTTTTACGTAATGAATATTAATCAAGTTACGCAATGTGGTAAGTCATTACGGAAGTATTACGTAATACTTCTAATGTTACTGTTATGTAAGAAATAACCTTCGTTACGTAACCTTTACGTAATGAGCGTGTATTTTATGTAACAGTTGTAAAATGTCATTACGGAAGCATTATGTAATATACGATGCTTTTACGTAATGAATATTAACCTAGCGTTACATAAAATGATAAGGTGTTACAGAAACCTTTCTTAACGCTTTTAGTTTAACTTTTACGTAAAACTAACAAGCATTACGTAATTGTTACATAATAAACATTAGTTTTACGTAATGCGACCTATAAAACCTGTTATAGCAGACCAAAAAGGTCAAGTTAGTAACTTCAAGGCATGGTAGGAGGTCCTTTATGTGTTGGTGCTTCCAGGCATATATTGCTTGTCTGTTTCTTTTGTTTGTATATGAGATTTCTACCGCAGATTGCATACTTTGAATTTCTTTTTTTTTTCTGTCATTTTAATTAACAAAACTATATAACAGAAAAAACTGGCCGACGCATTTCATCGACTTGATTCGGACATTGCTGGTTTTTGTTTTCTCAGCTAGGGATTCATTCTATTTGGTGTCACTATGATTTTTGGTCTAAGGGCAATCTAGATTGGGGTTTTCTTATGAAATCTCTTGGTGGTTTCCATTTTTATCATCGATAATTGGAGCCATGTAAGCATTTCTTTGGTTTTTTCATGTTCGCTCTAGGGGCATCATGGTGCATGGCAATATCGACTATAATTAAGACTAATGGCTTGGTTTGGATCGTCCATTATATTGTTTATGTTTTACTGGTTTTTTTTTGTAATGCAATGAGATAATGATTTTTCATCATATTATTATATATGGTGTTGTTGACCTACTTCCGGCCATTGCCGCATTCATGTTAACGGGTAATATCAGTTAGAATCTAAGAGCTAATTTTCGTGACTACGCCCGACCAAGGGCCGGGTAATAAGCTAGTAATTAAATATTGATGGATCCGTCTACCACTCTTCATATTCGATCTCTATCATCTATATTATCAAAGGGGAGAACGGCCAATTTATCAAAGTCTTCGAGTTCAATGTTAACCTATAAGTCTAAACCATCATTAAGTTGGATTGACATGTATCTTAGATGGTTTTAATCTGATCTATGAGTTGGAATTCAAGAAAACAGGTCTATGAACTTGTATGCCATGATGGACGATCCAAGACATATTCAGTAAATAAGTCACTTTCATTCACTCTACATTTATGTCACAACCATTCTGCAAAAGCTCTCTATCCAATGAATTTCTTTGGTCTAATGGTCTATTTTTATGGAGATATCTCGATCACGACAATTCCTTAGAATTAGAGGTTACTAATTCTCCCAACTTCAATTTAGTTTCTTGACTAACGTATGTCGCTTTTGCTTAACTTCAAGATTGGTTACTAGTACAATTTCTTTTTTGTGGGTGTTGAAAAGAGAACTAAAAGGAAAACCGGCTTGACAAATGAGATGATGAATGATATTGGTCGGAGTAGAGTAGGTGAAGAACATCAATGGCAAAATTGATAAGCCATAGAGTGGGAGGTGAAAGTGATGGAGGGGAGGGGGCACTGTTCTGATAAAAAGTCAGGCACCGCCCAAGCACGTTGCTTTGTTTTCCCACCGAGATCTCAAATGGAAATTTTTACATTTCGAAACTAAATAGAAATGTGAATTTAATTCTCAATGTAACAAAATAACGAAAATATTTTTGTTATCGAAAAAGGATTCACAAGACTATCATAAGTATTGTTTATGAAAACATAGTATGAGTAGTTAAAATTAAATAATTGAACGAGTTTATTATGACTAGATGTTTTCGTTCATTATTCACTAATCTAGTGATCTACCAGTAAGCTTGAAAATTCTTCCTCTTTTTGCCACAAGATTTGAGGTCAAGAGATGACTTCCTTTCTTCATACTCTATCTGGTTGTTTGGATGAGAATTCTAATGGATCAATCTAACACAATTGTCTCGTTTTGAGTCAATTGTGTTAGATTGATCCGTTTGGCAGCAAAAAATTTGGATGAAGCAATTTGGCTGGGAAATTCTGAAATGACTCATTTTGAGCCAATTACAATTGTCTGGGGTGGGGGCAGGTAATCTGAATTGACTCGTTTTGTAAAATGAAACAATTGATCAAATTGTCTCATTTTACAATTGATCCATCCAAATATAATTATTTGCATCATGGGCGATTGTTGAGGACTCCGTGAACTTCATTTTTGCTCATGTATCGCTCTGGAGATAGGGTGGGGGTTGAAACTTGAAACACTTAAACTAAAACTGAAGGTACAGTCACAAGTCACAACAAGACAATGAAGTGGTATTGAACAGGATAAGAAGTTTTATACGTGAAAGTGAAATGTTTATGTGTTTGATTGATTACAACAAACAATTGTTACATCTGCATTTTTGGCAGAATTGCCTGATGTCAGTAGGATCAGTCCATAGCATCAAACAGAATGATCTCTTGCTGACCACTGTACATACACAGCGTCGGTCATGTGTCGGTCGGTACACATTTGATTCTGGTAGTGCGAAATGCGAATGGTTTCAAACTAAATGTTCTATTTTTTAAAAAATATTGATTATTTTAATTGTTCTATTTATTTAATACGATAAATAATTTATAATTCTAAATTAACCCAAATATTTTTAATGATTATTTATTAGATGGTTATGCATGAAGTGTCAAGTAAATTTTTAAAAATGTCAAAATAGGAAGAAATTATAAAGGATGTTTTTTTTTAGTAAAACCTTAAGTTTTTTTTAACATAGTCATTCATAAAAGTACAACCAACAGAGTCATTACACGGAACATAACCAAACCCGGAAGTCGGCCAATAGTCGAACTTCCGATCAGAGGGCTTTTGTGCCGTAAAACCACATGTTCATTGGTATTCAGTATTCACTAGTTTAGTGTCCATCTGGTTGGGTGGAATGTCATTTGAATATAATATATTAACGATGTGTATACTAAAGTTTAGATCCTTATACCCTTGCAGCTTATGCCTCTTAGGCCTAATAGATTCCCATATGACTTTAGCATAAAAATATTCAAGTACTTTGCCTTCCCATGTAACACCAATATTGAAGGTGTGAATTTGGTTGAAAGCAGTTAGAAAAATTATTGATATATTTTTCTTGTGTATCCAATCATCAAGATCCAAATAGATAGATATATTTTTCTTGTGTATCCAATCATCAAGATCCAAATAGATAGACACATTTCGATTCGACTCAAATGAGTTTATTCAATTTAAAGTCAACATAAAACCATTAAAAAAATGCACATGAGTTCATTCGAATACAAACCAAAACCTTTATAAACTATATCAATGAACAATTGAGTCAAAAAGTCTATCCATTGTGATTCGTAGAGCAAACCATAATGAATGCGATAAGCTTAAGTAGCCAGTCTTATGCATTTCTATCATCCTCCTTTGAGACAACGTCATTACGAACGGATCAGTTCGTACATACGTGGCGATTCTTATTGGATGACGAACCTACTTGCGGAAGACATTTGCAGTACACACACTTCATGGATGTGGGTGGCAATGCAACCTTTGTTTCTTGCAAGAATATGCATACAAAACACACGAGTTAATGCAATGATAATGTAGGATCGAACATGCATCACACATCTTGTATTTGACATGCGAATTAACATTATATGTAAAAGAAAAATCGTCGTACTACCAATATTCTTCATTATCGATGGACTATATTATTTTCAGATAATTGTTTACCTCAAATTTCGAACTCAACATGTAGGGACGAAAACTATTACGTCATACTAATTGATAATACTGCCACTAGGGCTGAAAATTGCACTGTCTCATCCCTGACCCGGTCTAACCCGTCCCTGAAGGGTCAAGAGGTATAACTGACCCATCCCTGTCTCCTTCTTGACCCTGTCTTACCTCAAGAGATGGGACGGGTCGGGTCAGTGAGTCGACCTTAATCTACATACTACTTTTTTTACAAATTACATTTTGGGACCAAAAATTATTCTTTCTTACAAATAGTACCTAAAATTAATTTTTTTACAAATAAGTCCTTGAATTTTGATGGTAAAATTACATTTTGGTACCCAAATTTTTTATTTTTGCAATTTAGTACTTAAATATTTAAAACTTTTACAAAGAGGTCCAATGTGGTATGAGATATTTGTTGTTGCTTAGAATAACAGGGTCAAAAAGTGACCCGTCGTCCCTAAGTTGACCCTAGGGGTGGCTATGCGGTCCGGTCCGGTTAAATTGGCCCAAATTGATCCGGTCCAGTCCGGTCTTTTTGAAAATATAAGGACCGAAGATTGGATTGGATACAGTCCGGTCTTGATCCGGTCCGATTTTGATCCGGTCCGGTCCCAATTCGGTCTTGATTTTACATTGAGATTGTGGGATTTGAGTGGCCTAAGGCCTTAAAGGGTGAGGAGTTGGTTAAGTTTTGTACTAAGTGCAAAGGTTTGTGACCGTTTATGCAAATTATCCTTAAGTTTTGGGTGTTGAGCTCTCTTATCCGGTCTTTATCCGGTTTTTTACCTCAAATCTAAGCCCAAAGATTGGATTGGATTGTTTACTATCCGGTCCCGGTCCGGTCTCGATCCGGGTTATACGGTCCGGTTTCCGGTTTTTAATCCGGTCCCGATCCAAATAGCCACCCCTAATTGACCCGACCCGTCTCGACCCTTAAAGGATCAATAACTTACTCGTCCCTAAACTGACCCTATAGACAAATTGACTCGTCCCGACCGTCAGGGACGACACGGGTCAATAAGACTTTAGGGTCAAACTTACACCCCCTAACTGCCACATAATAATGTCTGTGTTAAAAGTAATAGTCTAGTGACTGAATTGTTACTGTCCCAAAAGTTTAATGACCATAGTTGACCCCTCCGTTTGCCGCATTCATTCGACGGAAAACGATCAGATTGATATCTTTGGCGCGTACACGGCGGGGCCCGCCTCCTTCCCGCGCTCACTGCGTGAGTCCAAAAACCCATTCGTCTACGTGCCTGTACAGCTGTCCACACGACAGCAATCCAATCCGCGAGATCACCAAACCCCTTCCATACACCCGCCCACACAGTATCACTCCCCCCTCCTCCGCAGGCCACACCACACAGCCTTATAAACCAGTCCTTTTCCCTCCCTCCTTCCTCCAATTAAGTCACGCACTCTGCAAGCACATACCCAATTTCCCAGTCTGTGACGTAACAGTGAGAAAAAAAATCCACGGCGGCGACGGAAAATCGCGTCGACGGCGACAACGGAAGGCGTGCCGTGTGGTATCGTCTATAAGCACTTCTCGTTTCTTTTCCTCCCGGTTCCCTTCACGGCTTCACCAAAAATTAGCATTACTCCAACAAGCAAAGCAAGCGGAAATTAGCGGGGGTAGCTTGTTTGAAAATTAAGCACTGTTTGAAGGAAAACTGAAACCGTACGGTTTGGACCCTAGTTATAAAAGCAGCATTTGGTGTTTTCTGGCTGAGAGAAGTCGGAGGAGGAAGCAAAGATGAACCGGAGGGAGATTCTGGTTGCGGCGGCGTGTTTCGTCGTGGCGGTGGCTGCTGCGGCGACGACGGCTTTCGGAGCGAACGTGTCGTACGATCACAGAGCTCTGGTCATTGATGGCAAGCGGCGGGTGTTGATCTCTGGCTCCATTCATTACCCACGCAGTACACCTGACGTAACCAATTTGTTCTCTTCCTTTCCTTTTTATTCTTTTTGTTTTTTGGCTTAACTTCTCCTCCTCTTCTTCTCTGATTTTTTTTTTTTTTTGAATGAATGGTGTTTGGTTCGGCAGATGTGGCCGGACCTTCTGCAGAAATCCAAAGATGGAGGCGTGGATGTGATCGAGACCTACGTTTTCTGGAGCGGACACGAGCCAGTCCAAAACCAGGTCGGTTTTCATCATTTTCCCCTTTCTCTGTGTTCTTCTGCCGCTCTGTTTGGTTCCCGAGAAAATGCAGGGTAGATAAGAGTTAGAGAAGGAGCGGCTCTTCTTTTTTTCCAACTGCTGAATATTCAAAGCAAAAGAGTGCTGTAATCGTTTTGGTTGGATTCTGGTGGGGGTTTTTTTTTTTCTAATTTTCCTTTTCAGTAGAAAAACTGACCTAAAAGAGAAAATTGGCAGGTTAATTTTCCCTCGCCTCGCTTTACTTTCTCACTGGCCAAACAGAAAACAGGGGGAATAGATTCCTCTATTTCCGGAGCAGCTCCTCGAAACTATCAATGAATAATTTCCCTTCCTCTCTTTTGCTGCACAGTATAATTTCGAAGGGAGGTACGATCTTGTCCAATTCATCAAGTTAGCAGCAAAAGCTGGGCTCTACGTTCATCTCCGCATCGGTCCATATGTCTGCGCTGAATGGAACTATGGGTAATGTGATCAATGTTATTTTCTCGGGAAATTTTTTTGAATGTTACAATTTTCCCTCAATTTGTTTCGGTCTGTTTGGCTTCAGGGGATTTCCTCTATGGCTGCATTTCATTCCGGGAATCCAGCTGCGTACTGATAATGAGCCATACAAGGTACACTCTTGACTCTTAATTATTGTCGTAATGAATGGCTTATGCTTTTGTCCTATCTGATTAATGAACTTGCTCTCTGTGATCATCGTTAATAATGGATAGTAATAATAATTAAGGGCTGTTGATTTTCAGGCTGAAATGAAGCGATTCACGGCTAAAATTGTGGATTTGATGAAAAAGGAGAAGCTCTATGCATCTCAAGGAGGTCCAATTATATTATCGCAGGTGTGTGTTGGGGTTTATAATTTTCCTACTTACTCTGTTGGTGGAGATTAGATAGTATCTAATTATGGTTAATTTATTTGGTTGGTTTCCTACTAGCATGATTAGGGATCGAATCTCAAATGATTGTTCACTGTCTACACTTTTGGACAACTGATCAGGATTATTAGGTCATTATAATCATTGTTTATATTTTTTTTTGCCCAAAGTGACAAGCAAACACAAATTACAACAGAGGAATGAATGATGTTGTAACGTAAAACTAAAAAGACTTCCCATTTACGTTTCCCATATCTAGAAACTTGAAATGGATTGAGTTTCCTTACACAATTTTTTTTTTAATGGATGCATGTCAGATTGAGAATGAATATGGCAACGTTGATTCTGCTTATGGTCCCGCGGCTAAAACCTACATCAACTGGGCAGCAAAAATGGCCGTGTCTCTCAACACAGGAGTGCCATGGGTCATGTGCCAGCAAAAGGATGCTCCTGATCCCATTGTTAGTATCATTTCCACTCTAACTTATGGTTTGATACTTTGGTTAGATGAGGCACTATGATGAGTCATTTTGTCGACGATATCTTCGAATAATCATGGTAACAAAATGTCTTGTTTGATAAGTAAAAGAACATATGATATTTTAACATGAATAAATGATCATATTTCGTTCGAGGTCTCGATTTTATTGTAAAATGAGACTTTTATTACAAATGTCAATATTTGTACTTTACCCAATCCAAACAAACCTTTTGCTATTATTCTAAACAATATTTCCCCTTGTTTTCCCTTTATCCCTACCATCTGTGGTGTTGACCCAGAATCCACCTAATTGGAGAATTGAATGGACTGCTGTCCTCTATATATTTTGACCTTCTGCTTGTCATTACTTCTACAGCTCACCTAGATGCCGCTTTTGATATACTTAATTTGTGTAACAAATTACAGATCAACACCTGCAATGGCTTCTACTGTGACCAATTCACCCCAAACTCTAATAACAAACCAAAAATGTGGACTGAGAATTGGAGTGGATGGTAAGGAGTGTAACCAGAAAGAAAGCAACTCTTTTTGACTATTGGCATAATGTTTGTATGACACATCTCATAAGCTGTCCTCCATGCTAGGTTTCTTTCCTTCGGCGGTGCTGTGCCCTACAGACCCGTGGAGGACCTTGCATTTGCCGTGGGGCGCTTCTTCCAGTTGGGTGGGACTTTCCAGAATTATTATATGGTAACTAGGTCTAGGTGGTGAATTTATGAATTACTTCGGCTCCTTTGTAGCTATAATTACACCAACATGTGAAAAAATTAATTTAGTGTCGGCTCCTTTGTAGTACCATGGTGGGACTAACTTCGGCAGGACTTCTGGTGGACCATTCATCTCCACTAGTTATGATTACGATGCCCCTCTGGACGAATATGGTATAGGCCTCTGCTGCTGCCATGCCATCTTCTAGGCCAATACCAAGTAGTTCAATTATTAAGTTCACTCTAACCCAAGGTTGCATCATTTTTCACATTGTCGCAGGCCAACTCAGGCAACCAAAGTGGGGACACCTGAAAGATCTGCACAAGGCCATAAAGCTCTGTGAAGATGCCTTGTTAGCAACTGACCCAGCTACAACTTCTCTGGGTTCAAACGTGGAGGTATTCCACATTTGTAACAACTCTCTTTTGTCAGTGGATGAGTTTAGTTTTCTTTTCTGTGAAGTAATCTGCAACCTTTTTTGTTTCACAGGCAACTACTTACAAATCCGGTTCTGTTTGTGCTGCCTTTCTAGCAAATACTGGTACATCTGACAAGACTGTGACTTTCTCCGGCAATTCGTATAAGTTGCCTGCATGGTCAGTCAGCATCCTACCAGACTGCAAAACAGTAGCGTTTAATACTGCAAAGGTCTGGGCTCTGGAGCTTGAAGTTGCTTATATATTGATGTCATTTTATTTCCACCTCTCATGTTTTAGAGGAAATGAGATCAGTGAATTACTATAAGCGTATACTTACAAGCTGAAGAAAGTAGCAAAACTCTTCTAAGTTTTGAATTCCATTTTTTACATCCATCTCAGGACCTTCTCTTTTGTGTTCATTACAGATAAACGCTGTCACAGTGGTTCCCAGTTTCAGTCGCGAAGCTATCGATGGTGACTCTGACTGGAGTTGGATTGATGAGCCAGTTGGTATAACAAAGAAGGATGCATTTACGAAACCAGGACTTCAAGATCAGATAAACACCACTGCTGATCAGAGTGACTACTTGTGGTACTCATTAAGGTAGGCAAATCAGGACATTGCATTTACTGCTACCATCCATTTTTGCTCTATACGTGATCTAAATTCTTCTAGATATCGGTATTTCTGGTATCTAAACCTATGTTTTTCCTTATTTGGTTCTGCCAGCATTAATAGTGAAGGTGGTGCTGGATCCCTAATTGATGTGGAATCACTTGGCCATGTCCTTCATACTTTTGTAAATGGAAAGTTGTCTGGTAAGTATATTTATGTTGTTTCCTTTTCTGATTTGTAAGTTGAGTCTGTATCGTCTTCAATGCATTGTCTAATGCTTGTCTGGTGAATTTTTTTGCCAGAACAGCTAGATATAGATACTCTGTTACAGCAGGATAGATTATAGAAGCGTTTTTGCCCTAAATGAAGCAAAAAGATTCGTCCGTTTAGAATGCTAAGCTTTGGTTATGAAGTTCCTTTCAGTTTGTCATGATATACTTGAAGGTTATACAAGTTCTACTGCATAAGGAACTGAGAGGTTGTTGCGTCTACCCCAAACTGTAGCTTTTCCCATTGGTGATAGTTACACTCCAATAATTAGAGTGAATTAGTAGGCTACTTAATGCTTCAAGTAGAACCGGTATATCACTGCTGGTATTCCTTGTTTTTGTTAACTTTGACAATATGGTTTATTTACAGGGAGTGCAACAGGCAATAGTAACAATGCTAAGGTTTCTGAAGACGTTCCAGTCACGCTTGTGGGTGGAATGAACACTATTGATCTCTTGAGTGTGACAGTGGGACTTCAGGTCAGGAACCTGTATAAGTAAAAACTAATGCTAGCTGCCAGAAAATGAAATGTTGCAGCTAGTTTTCTTCTGACATACAATCAAAACAAGTTTTGGCATCTGAAGACTTATGATTGAAGCATTTTTGTTTTATGTACCAGAATTATGGAGCATTTTTTGACCTGAAAGGTGCCGGAATTACTGGCCCAGTAGTATTGAAGCTGAAGAATGGTTCCGCTATTGATCTCTCTTCACAGAAGTGGACATATCAGGTTTGCTTCTTCTAGTCTGGCCTGTGTCTCTTAAATAGGAAGCATCATAGTCTAATCCAATGTTACCTTATCAATGCCTCACCATTTTGGTTCAGGTTGGACTCAAAGGAGAGGGATTAGGCTTGTCTAGTGGAGATTCTGCACAGTGGGTTTCTCAGTCGTCCTTACCTACAATGAAACCTCTAGTATGGTACAAGGTAACATCACTCTGCCCTTGAAACTGTCTAGTCGTTAGGAGATCAGTTGTACTTGATTAAGGGCTAACTTTTGGTACCTTGGTGAATTGTTCTCAGAGGAGTTTCAACACACCAGGTGGTGACGGCCCTCTAGCAATCGACTTCACCGGGATGGGTAAGGGTGAGGCTTGGGTAAATGGACAAAGCATTGGACGTTATTGGCCCACTAATATAGCACCGAGTAGTGGTTGCACCGACTCTTGCGATTACAGAGGAAGTTATGGTGCAAACAAATGCCTCAAGAACTGTGGGAAGCCTTCTCAGACATTGTAAGTGGTTTTGTTCAAACATTGCAAGCCTTCTCGGGAAACTACATCGAGGGGAGTCTAACACGAAACACCGTCTAACAGGTACCACGTGCCCCGTTCATGGCTGAAATCAACTGGAAACACTCTAGTACTGTTCGAGGAGAACGGTGGAGACCCAACAAAGATAGCATTTGCCACGCCCCAGGTTGGAAGCCTCTGCGCACAAGTATCCGAGACTCATCCATCGCCGGTGCACAAATGGAGTTCATATCTACGTGCACAAACTAAATCTGGACCTGTGCTATCTCTATCTTGCCCACACCCAAACCAAGTGATTTCCTCAATCAAGTATGCAAGCTATGGCACCCCTCAGGGAACCTGCGGGAGCTTCAACAATGGACAATGCCACAGCCAGAATACTTTATCCATTGTGCAAAAGGTACCCTCCCACCACCCTCTTCCTACTCTCTTTTGCACAATCCTAAAACATTCATGTAACATGTGTTCTTTTACGCTGTGTTTAACCTCCAGGCCTGCGTCGGATCAAAGAACTGCAGCATCGAAGTATCGAACAACACGTTTGGTGAACCTTGCGGCCTGGTTCGAAAGAGTTTGGCCGTGGAAGCTTCCTGTACATAATAAGAGAACTAGATTGGTTCTGCTGAAAAGTAATTCACTTAATTACTTGTTCCCTAAGGAAGAAGTGCGCCATTCAATAAGCCTTCCGCCGCTGATCTTCATTAACTAGAGATTAGCAGAAAGGAAAGGGCATAGTTATAGTCTCAAATCTCAATAGACAGATTGTGTATTCTAGGGCTTGCTTCTCAATTGGATATTGAAAAAATATGAATGCTGCATATTACAAAGATACAGAGTGAAGGTCGCACAAATCGATCTCCTGTTCTGTATTTATTCACTCCCACTACAAAATCACGCATATATGGATCCATTATACATGTTCATAACAACTGTCGCTCTTTACCCTTTTGTTAACTTATCAAAGCATTTAGATTTCAGATATTCCTGCAGAAGCAGCAGTAGAGCTTCTCTGGAACCTGCAGAACCTGCAGGAAGTCGAGTACAGAGACGGAGTCTCGTACTTGTCTTCTCCACCCAACATCGGCATCGGGACTCCGACTTTGGCCGGACTAACGTAATCCGGCCGGTAAGTCTTCCCCAAAACCCCTTCCACCTCGTCGGTCAAGTTTTGGAACTTGAACTGTGTCTCCAGATGGGCAAAAGAATCGCCTTCCGGCAGCTGGTAGTTGTGAACTCTATTCTCTTCCTCCCCAATCGGCCTGATCCTCACCGACAGCTCGGCCAACCCTCCCACCGTCACCTTGACCGTGTTGACGTCGTCGGTCCTCTCCACCACGACTTCCCTTCCGGCGGTGACGGTTCTCCACTCGGCCTCGCCGCCGGTGGGGATGTCGACCTTCTCCCCGTCCCACTTCACGATCAGGGCGTCCGCCTTGTCGTCCCACCGCGGGACTCTGTCGGCGGCGATGACCAGAGTGTGGGTTTCGAACATCACGGCCAGAGCCTGCACCCAGGTGTAGTCTCTGGTCCTCCCCTGTGGCCTGGTCCCGATGAAATGTGCGTTGATTTGGAATTTCTCGTCGGAGACTATCGCAAAGTTGCCTCCTTTAGCTCCGTGGAAGTAGAACATCACTCCGTCCCCGCCGACGAATCGCGGGTCGTAGCAGAGCGAGCCGTACCCATTGCAGTTCGGTTTCCTATCTGCAGAACCCAGAAATTAGAAATTAATATAAGAATCATCTCTAACAGGAAAAAAGAAACAGCAGGAAGAAGAAGAAGCTTACATTTGCAGGTGACTTCGCATTTGCTGCTGCAGTCGATGAAGCAGCCTTTCACCTTCCTGTTCTGGCGGGGTTTCCTCTCGGGGCACTGATCAGGGCAAGTGAGGGTTTTGTACTGGCAGGATCCTCTGGCGAGGCAGTAGACTTGTTCTTTCCCGGACTCTGTTCTGGGAAGCACTCTGTAATTGGTTCTCGCCGGATCCAAGTTCCGGTAGCCGGAGGTGGATTGAGCAGAGGCTTCCTTCCAGCAGAATAATGCGAGGAAGAAAGCAAACAGAGCAGCGAGGCTTGGATTTCTTCCTTCCATTTCAAGACACCCTGCTTTTGCTCTGCTGTGACGGTGTGAGTTGTAATAATGGGTTGTGGAATGGAATGGTGGTTGAATATATAGTGAGGGAGCGAGGAGGAAGTTTTGAATGTGGCCGCACCCTGCGGTTCTGCCGTGAAGTCCGCCGTCGTGGTAGCGGAGTTCTTGCTTCTGTCCACGGGGGAAGCGAGTGATTGCCAGTGAGTTCTGATATTAGTATATTTCAGTACTCAGTAGGCGGCTAGGCTAGCAAGCTAGGAAATGGATGATATGGGTACTTTCTGGTCGTTTTTTTTAATCACCTTTGACCGGCTAATTAATGATCACTTTCATGATGATAGATTTCATCATATGTACTTAATTAACTAATTAGCATTCATTCGAGATGCATAACTTTTCATTTTAGTGTGTTTTTTATAGATATTTCGATCGGAATAGCAAGATACGACTTACAAGTAATAATAGTATAACGATCTTTGTAGGTTTCACAAAACGAAGGGAAAAAAAATGTTGATCTATAGTATTTCAAACCAACAATAAGAGGGTTTTTTTTTTACCTATGTAAAAAAGATTAACATCCGATCTATTGTGAATATTTTTATTCTCGAAATTATCGTTAGGTTTTTCATAGTGCATTTTGGATTTGCTAAGTGGTGATATGGAGCAAATTAGGGAGCTCGAATTGCCATTGAACTTGACATTGCGTCAAATAGTTTGGAAGTTGCGATTGTTAAATAGATGTATTGTTGAGAATGCATGTATAATATTATACGAGGTCGTTTGGATTAGAGATTTTAATGAGGGATTTCAGAAAGATTTTAGCACAATCCCTCGTTATGCAGGATTTTAAAACAATTCTGCGTTTGGAAATGACGAGAGATTTTAGAATTAAGAAATTTAAAAACCCTCAATCGTGGGTTTTTGAAATAACTGATCACTATAAGCTATTTCTAAATCTCTCGTTCTACTTTCGTTTATTCCAAAACCTACCCTTGTTCGACCCTTCTTCTCCGCCAACCTTCGCCCTCAAACCACTCTATTGTCGCAGACACAGAGCATCCCGGAGCAACTTCCAGCTTTCCCCAACCATAGCCACAGTTGTCAACCTTCCCCCATCATCCTTTGCCGTTGACTCCTCAGTCGACTCTGCCATCCTCCTCGGCGGCATATATGGAATCTGGATTCAATCTATTACGCTTAATCGTTTCCTCCCCGGTCGCCTTCACCGCCGTACATGAACCCTAATAACAACCCATCGACAACTTCTCTATGGCGGAGAAGCTCTCCCTTGGTTCTGGGTTCACTGGTCGCGCCGGGGACACCTGCCACGCCGACTCCAATATGTTGTTCGCATATGCATGGTTAAGAATCGAGAAGAAGTTGGGAAATTGGCAGGTTCAGATGGATTATTGGGGACGAGGAGGGGGTCAGATGGGAGAGAGAAGAGGGAATTACCCAATTTGGGTTCCAATTGACTAACAATTCTTTCTTTGTTCTGCAAACCCAATCGGTTGGAATTGGAAGGGAGTGAGATTTTGGGTTTGTGATTTTGGGGTTTTTATTTATCTTTGATTCTGGGGCTTTTATCTTCTTTCTTTAATCTGCACACAGTTATGAGATTTTGAGATTGTGATGGAAGCATAAAAGAAAAGCATCCTTTGTTGTGATTAGTTATTCTAGAAGTAGGGGAAGAACAGATGGTTGCTGCGAATAGTAGGTGTAGAAGAAGGAACCATTGCTCTAGTCTGTAATTTGTTTGATTGAGTGAATGAGGTAGAATATGAACAACGAACAAACGAAGAAGACAAAGGATAATATTGTAAATTGAGTTTTAAGTTTAAAATTCTGCGTTTCAATCCAAACAAGTTATTTTGATCAAATCCCACATACAAATTTCCATGTATTTTAAACGAGAGATTTTAATTAAAATCCCTCGTTATCAAAATCTCTAATCCAAACGATCCCTACATGTATTGTCGAATTTGATGCATTGTAGAATACAACGTTTGGTATGTGTGATTGTGTATGTCGCATCAGCTAAAAGCTGAGACAAAACAATCTCAACTCAACTATCTCAACAATCACAACTAAAAGTTGAGATATAACAATCACTCAAAATGAGTGATAGTTTCTGTCACATCATAGAAACAATCCATGTATTGTTTCTGCTAAAAAAAACAAAAAAAATGATACATTGTAAACAAATGACAATCTCAACAAGACTATCGCAACTTCCAAACGAGCCCTTAGACTCTTTCTTTTGGTAGTTGAAGTTTACCATTTTAACAATCATTGGGAGGTTTGTAGTAGACTTTTGCATTGGGCGGTCAGTATATATATGTAGGAATATTATTATTGGACGTGGCGACGAACGAGCTGTTACTTAATCAGAAAGTCAGCGCTATCTGCGAGGGGAACCCGGCCACATGCAGCCTAGCTGGCTTTGTTACTCAAATCCATGCATTCAATTTCTTCAGCGTCACGTTAGGTTCTTCTTTAGATGTGCATCTCTAGTTTCCAGGTATGGCCGGCCGGTTCAATAATCGAAATGCTATGATCGGATCCAGGCGTTGACCTTCATTAATCAGCTCTCCAATTTATCAAAGCAATGTTTCAATTCCTTGGACGCATTATATTCATCTGAATTAATGCCATCTCGTGAACACAGTTTCTATGGAAATAATTCGTATTCTCTCTTTAATTGTCCTCGTATTACATGTCAATCCTTGAATTATACAAACTGGTTAATAATACAATCACAAAATTAGCCGTATTAACAAATCACAAATAACCAATAGTACAAATACAACTTGATAACTTATAGTAACAATTTATTCATACAAACACAAATCAACTTATAATAAATGTGCTTTGTATTATACTCAAGCACTTGAATAATTTAAATTATGAATTTTCCCCCATCAACCATATAATGGGTAGGTTTTATTTTTGCGGGAAGGAAAATAATTTTACCCTCTTCAATAAGAACACAAAAGAAATATTATGCATATGCATTAATTAAATAGTAGCCTCTCGATCTGGTTGTTGTTGTTGTTCTTCTCGTTTAGGCTGAGGCAGTTACTGAGGCGATTACTGAGGTAGGTTGGAACCTGCAAACCTTGCAAAGAGGTGACATAAGCGACGGCGTTTTGTACTTGTTCTCTCCTCCTAGAACCGGCATTGGCACGCCGATCTTCGCCGGGCTGACGTAGTCAGGACGGTAGGTCTTGCCCAAAACTCCCTCCACCTTCTCCGACAAGTTGTCGAACTTGAACTGAGTCTCGAGGTGGGCGAAAACGTCGCCGTTCGGGATCTGATAGTTGTGCACTCTATCCTCCTCTTTCCCGATGGGCCGAACCCTAATGTTCATCTCCACCAGCCCCGAAACCCTAACTTTCACGCTGTTTGTTTCGGCGGTCCTTTCTACCACAACACTTCGGCTTTCTCCGGTGGAAATGCTCCACTCGGCGTCGCCCTCAGTAGGAAGCGTGATCTCGTCGCCGTTCCACCTGACGGTGAGGGCGTCGACGGCCTCATCCCAGCTGGACAGCCTCTTGGCGGCGATGACAAGGTTGTTGGAGTCGAACATGAGGTTGATGGCTTGCACCCAGGTGAAGTCGCGGGTCCTTCCCTCGGGTCGGGTCCCGATGAAGTGGGCGTTGATCTGGAGGTCGGTGTCGGAGACGATGGCGAAGTTTCCTCCTTTGGCTCCGTGGAAGTAGAACATCACTCCGTCGCCTCCGACGAATCGCGGGTCGTAGCAAAGGGATCCGTACCCATCACAGTTGGGCCTTCTGACTGCATGCAGTGACGAAGTTAGGTTGAAACCAGTAGGATAATAGAGCAGTGAATAATGTCTTAATCCCTCTGCAATTATTACAGTTCACATCACCCCGATCTCATTCAAATTTCGGACTCCGCAGAAAGAGAGAGAGAGAGAGAGAGAGAGCTTACACTTGCAAACCACCTCACAGTTGCGGTTGCAGTCGACGAAGCAACCCTTGTTCTTCTTGTTCTTCTTGGGCTTCTTGGATGGACACTCTGGAGGGCAGACGAGGATCTTGTTCTTGCACTTGGACTTGGCGTGGCACATGTGCTTCTCCCTGCCGTTGCCTTCGCCGGGCAAGTCGTCGAAGTCCTTCTCCCCTTTCTTCTTCCCTCCACCGCCGATGTTGATGTTGTTGCCGTTGTTGTTATTGTTGTTGTTGTTATTGTTGTTGTTATTGTTGCTGTTGTTGCTGTTGTTGGTGTTGCCGTTGTTGTTGTTGCTGTTGCTGTTGTTGTTATTGTTGTTGCTGCCACCCTTATCGGCCGCAAGTGCGGCCTCCATGGCCATCAGCATCGCCAACAAAGCTACCAACACCACGAATGATGACTTGGCCATGGTTTCTCGGCCAAGATGGAACTCTTTCTAGCTTTTTCTGAAAACGGTATTTTGGCGATCCCTTCTCCTCTTTTGCTTCCACTCGCTGTGAGTGTGTGCTGTTGTGGTGGAAACTGCAAGAGGAGATGAGATGGAGAAGGATGGAAGTTTGGAGGAGTATTTATAAGGAGGAGAGGGTTTCGTTTTTGCGTGTATGTGCATGCATGTACGCGGAGAAGCGGCAAGAATTTCAGGCGGCATCACTATTCCTTGCTTTGCCATGTCAAAAAGGTGATGGAAATTTTAAGGACACATTGGCATAAAGGTGGAGGGTATCGATCACTTGGAAATTCCTTATCTCGACTTAGTGTTATTGCTTTGGATTGTCATAAAGGTGGAGGGTATCGATCACTTGGGAACAAGTTAGCTAGATGGCTTGGTCTATGATATATGTTGGAAACAAGTTAGCTAGAGAGAAGATGGCGGGGGAGGGAGGTGGGGCTTGCTAGCTTTCAGGAGGGAAAGTTTTTGCTTGGTCAACTTGTATCTTCATTTCCACGATTAGGATCTTTAATTCCATTTCTGGACTTCAAAAAACTATCTTGCTGTTGGTTCTGACTTTTGATATTTCGTCTAAAAGTAGTGTTAGTTTTGCTTGTCCATCAATAATGGCAATGAGACTGGTAGGTACCTCAATATATATATACTAGCTTTTACCCGACCCGTTGGTCGGATGAATTTCATTTCATTTGCTATAATTTATGTTAATCAATTGATTCATATATTTAAATGATTCACTCTTTTAAATAACTTATATATAATTTGAAAGTAATTTTTGTGATGATTATTGGTTGAGACATTTCATATAATTAGTTTATAAATACTTTTTTGTACATAAGATCATCATGACGTAAAAATTTATATATACTGTTCATATTCAAGAAGAAAATTTTTCACTTTTTATTATCCACATAAATAACTTAAGAATGATTTTTTGATGAAATTCAGTATTATTAACATATTAAACTTACCTGGAAAGCACAAAAAATAGGCAGCAAACGCTGAAAACCTATGGAACATGCCAAATTTCTAGCTACTGAAAGCCAAGTTTTGGATTATTGCTTGCAACTTTCAAGTTCTTTGACCATTTAACCTTGTTAATTGTTCATAAGGAGAAGTTGTAACACACTTTGGTTGAAATCATAACTAACCAAGACCAAACTCATATCTAACAGGATGGTAAAAAAGAATATGGGAAATTCCAAAGAATTAAGCACCCTGCTAAGTCTGACTGCCTAAGAGATTGATATAGTAGGAAGTGCTAGAAGCACTTTTAATTTTCTGAAAATGGTGACATTTATTCAATCTAATATGTTGAAGGCTTTAATTACAAACTAAAGACACCCTTTAAGTTGGGGCCAAAACAGTAGAGCTCGATGGAAATAAGAAAGATTATGATTATACGATTATACATACTACAAGCTCCCTTCTTTATGGACCAAAATAGTTGTCGTTTTCAGACATTTAAATGAAGCACCTGCAAAAAATTCTTTTGCTCAATCATCTGTATACAACCTTGTTTCTATACGGCTTTCATGGAAAAATCTGTTGACATTATACATGTATATGCCTGTAATCAGTACCATGCTTATCCAGATGGTCAAAGCTTCATTTCGGTTTCCAATCCACCTGAGTCCGTGTTACATCTCTGGTTCTTATTCCCAAGTGATGCAGCACCTTAGTTGTTTGCTGTTGGTCTGCACGATCTCTAATTCACCATGATATCAGAATCCTCATGTAAGCATTGAAAGTCTCCTTCATACTGCTGTAAGCAGGGCGCATCAATGGCCGACCTTCCGCTTCGAGTTTGATCTGTTTAAAATCATGCAAGAAAATCTCTACATTATCATGTCCCGGCTCGCATCTCTAACTACCTCTACCTTTGTCGATTCCTTCATCAGGTCGTCACTCCTAGTCCTGTGTGTAGTGTAGAGCCTTAAAAGCATCAAACCAAAACCCAGATAAGTTGATCCACAAACCAGCATTTCTAGTCTGTTCCGCACATCTTCCCTGTGAGCAAAATCATTACTTCAAGATCACTATCAAACTCAAGTTCTAATCACATGAACTCAAGACCGGTAATCTCCTTTCACCGCCTTGTTCCAGGAACTCCCATCCACCAATTTCTCCTGCAACAACCCACAAGCAGAGTCTACCAGAATTCTTTAACGAAGTGTGCTTCTTTTCAGAAGTTGAGGATTAGTAGAAAGAATGAAGAAAGTCACTTACCAAGCTAGTCTGAACATTTGCTACCTTATTTTCATCTTACTATACTCATTCTTTGGGACTTTTCTCCTTGAAAGGAAACAGTCATTAAAGCTTACAGCAAGAACGAAGTACAGGCTGAAAAGTAGATGCCAAATCTGCCATACCTTCAAATATTGCAGAAATTGAAGCTCTTCTGGAATCATGAACAATAAGGCATTTCCTTCCGCACCTTCTCCATGTGTTGTTTGCCCAATCCTATTCATTTACTCCTAAAAACCAGAAATTCAATCTAAATTGATGATCACCAACACAATTAACCAATGTGAAGAGAAGAAAGTAAAGCACCTTGAGCTCACCAGGAGGATCATAATGCACAAAGCAATCCTAAATGGGAGCGGAGGAAGGATTGGGAGCAGACGTCAACCGGTAACCTAATGCATCGCACATCCATCAGTGGCGGTGGAATGCAATTATTTTCCTGATTGGTGCACCGTAGAGTAGATTATAAGTGCAGGCACCTTAGCTCACATAGATGAGAAGGAGATTAAGGATTCTTTTAGGAAACAAAAGTATTCCATCATTAGGTGAAATCAACAATATCTATAAGAAGACTTTCATATTTGCAGCAATCTATTCCATTCTCAGTGATCAAACAATTAAGAGTTTCCTCCTGGAATTTACCGGTGTTGATCATGGTTCACATGAACGAAAAGGTAAAAGGCAGTATACATACACAGAAAGACACCAGTCCAATTGTAAACCTAACCTGAGTTGCTCCTAATATTGGGGGCATTGAAGCAGACATCGAATGAAAGACAAACATGAAGAACCCTAGCAGCATCCAAGAAATCCTCCAATACAGAAACAATGGAAGAGCCCCTGCATTGACGTGGGAATTGATTTTGAATTAGAGGACTCATCCAATTAGGAAGTTCATGAACATGGTTATGTTCAATCTATAAATGAGATGTATGATACTAAGAACTTACAATGTGTGAAGCAGCATCGTAACCGGCCTGCAAAGGACGGGAGGAAAGGGAAAAAAGAAGCACCAGATCAAAATTTAGGCGGAGACAACATTAAAAAGAGAGACTTTGGGCGCAACCCAGAAACTATCGAAGGGGAAAAAGTTGTGATTGAAGTACCCCGGAAAGAATGCGAATCTGGATGGGAGAAGCGTCGCCTCGACAGTATCGCTAACGCGTGATTTCTCGACTTAGAAGTGGGAAAAGAATCGTTGCAACTGCAATAAACGCCGGTCGCATTGTGCCCGGAACCTACCAGTAGAGTGAGGAGCATCGAGTAGATGTTGTGGGTGAGGCAAATTTTTGAAGAAGAAGCTATAGACGTCCATCGTGTTTGGAGTCTTTATTCATTGAAGTAATTGCATCCACTGGGCAGAATCAGGGGTGGAAACGTGTGGGCAAGGAGAATTACTGAAGGAAAAGTTGGGGCAATACAACGTAGGCGGAGTCGATGTTGACTGGGGAACTGGGAGGCGAGAGATGCAATTCAGTCCAGACTTACCAATTGCAATCAGCAGAGGGGACCTGGGGCAACTCCGATCTGTAGGGTGCTGCGAGATCTTCTCATAGCGACGTTTCCGTCGGTGTAATCTCGGCCTAAAAAGTAAACAAACACAACCTTGAGGAAGGAAGAGATATAACAAACCCATCTGATTGAACAGTTGATGACTTCTTATAGTCTCTCCGATAAGCGCCAAACAAAAAGAAATAGATCCCCTGCCAAAACCCCACCGTAGATTAAATCCAGATTCCTTCAAATCGGCCAGACCCAAAAAAAAAACCAAAATCAAAGGGAAGAAGAAGCGGACCTCGCAAGTGTAGCCTGAGAGTGCCACCACAAAATAGGGAATTGAGGCAGGGGATCTTGTAAGCAGAGTTCCGCCGCCGGAGAAAAGGATTGAGGACGGCTCGCGAAAAGGCAATGAGAGTTGCCAGAGGTAGCGGGTGGTAGCAGTGTAGAAAATTCCGAGGGGAAACTTTGGAGAACCGCGATGGGTGTGCGGTTAGTGGCGCGAGACAGTGAGATGAGAAAGAACAGAATCAGAGATGCAATTTGTTGTGGGAAGGAGAAAGGAAAACAGGAAAGGACGGTTACTGTCCCAAAAAGGGGAGAGAAAAATGCCCGCCTAAACGCCCAGCCAACTCAGCACCCGTAAATCACTCTAAGAGCAGGGATTTTTGAATGGGGGATGCAGTTTTACGTTTCCACTATAAATGATACTGTATATATATATATATATATATATATATATCCACCCCATAGCGAGCGCGAGTCAGGTCATGTAATATCCGTGTGGATACGAATATAGACAGGTCGATTGATTCTAATATATTATTTTAAGAAAATGTTTATATTTTAGTGATAAAACAAAAGACTTTTAGTTCATACATGAAAATAGATATAGTAGCTAACCTACTTAAGATATATAACAGGAGAATTATCAATATAAATCGAGGTAGTACGGGTCAAGAATGGAATGGGACCGGGCGGGGCAGGTCGGAAGTAGTAACCATGCCCCGTCCCATACTACTGTGGGTCACGTCGGGTGATTCTCGGCGAGGCGGATTCAAATTGGCATCACTACACATAATGCTAAAATACTTCCATTTTGTTCTTGTCTAATTCAAGGATTACTGCACCATGTAGCCGGTCCAACCGTTAAAATGGGACTATTGCTGTTCAGCATGGTATGAGATATAAATATTATGAAAATATCATATTGGTGGATTTTATAAAATTATACCGACAGTCCCTGATGATAAGGGTCGGTTTTGAAGATATTATATCCATATAATCAATTAAATGTTCAATGATAGAGTGAATTGAGTCGTTGCTGGACAATTTCGAGACAAATTAGTCATTGCCAAAGCGATGGTTGCAACTATTGAATCCTTCGACCTCAAAGCGTTGAACCTTATGCGACAATTGTGTCGTCATCTTTGCAAATCGTAATATTACGGCAGAAAATTTTACCAGGAAAACTCACTTGACCAGATAAATGATTGCCCAACCCGACCATTAGAAGCAGTGTCGGAGTGTTAGAAGCTGCTGAAGTGCAAGACCGAACCAAGGTAGTGTTGAGTTATGGGTTTTGGCCCATGCACGTATGATCAGGCCCATACGTAGCATAGGGGCTCTCGGCCTATTAGGGTTAGGGCAGCCGAGTATATATTTATGTATATGCATGTAATTGTTGAGCATAATAATATACGAGACTCCGCTTCCTGCCGTGGACTAGTCTTGCTCACACCAAGCAAGGAAACCACGTTAAATTCTGTGTCGTGTTCCGTTTTGATCTTGTTCTTCGTTTCGTTTCTCCGTTTTGATTAACATAGTATCAGAGCTATCTACAATGGATTCAGATCGTATCTCCGCGCG